TTTCATTACTAGGACCGAAAGTGGCATTTTCCGGCGCGCGCTCAAGTTTTTGTGTGAGGCGAAGCCGAACACAGGAACACCAATTTTAAAAGTAAACCTATGTTCATTTTTGTTTGATTTTTAAAACATAAAATAAAATAAAGTATTCTAAAGGAAACCTTCATATATTTCTCAATACTTCAAACATCAAAATAAAAGATTAAAACGACTGAACAATACATACAGCTGATTTAAATCATTAAATTAAACCGTAACAAAACACTAGCGCGCGTAGTGAATAAATGGAAAACTAATTGAGAGCGAGGGAAAGTAAATTTAGAGCGAGGGAAAATCAGCTGATCGATTTTCCCTCGCCCTAAATTAGAGCTTGGGAAACGGCTACTTTCATTGATGTCAGCTGTTATCGAAAATAGTTACTTTCAGTGAGGAGTGATGAAAAGATATTTTCCTGTAGAAGTGCAGAATCGTTTTAAAAATTAAAATAGGCTCAAATATAAGCATAAAAATGGATTTGAAGTTAAAAAAATAGCATGAGCTTTATGGGTTGCCGAAAACTATTATGACGAAATAACAACGAAATATAAACAGAAAATCAAAACCAATGGAAGAAATTACAATCACATGTTTTATTTACAGTGAAGGGTGAAAATAGAGGAGTCTGTACCTTTACTTTCCATCCACATGTTAAAGTTGTAACCAGTTTTTTTCTTTAAATTCTTCGTAGTTGATGTGAGCCACCAACAGATTGCGCTGATCTAAATGACTAATTTCTGTCGAATTTACGCTGTTTTTTCGAAGTCAAACTTATGGAATGACTTATTATGAACTATAGCAACTATTACCCATCAACTTTGTCAGCAACAAAAAATAGGGTAGAAAATAGAATTTAAGACACACATTTGGTAACTGGCTCACACAACTACATGTTTTTTTAATAAAAAAAAATGGCGACAGCTGGTCCATACGGTAATAGATGGGTTGTCTACTTCAGTACTTCAGTATCCAATAGTCAATACGTGTATATTACATGTTTTTGGTCGAGTTTTCAACCACTGGACAACCACTAGTTATCCTTATTATTCTTTTGTTTTCTACTAAAATATATTATTAAGCTATTAATTTAAGTTAACTACTTTATATCGTAAAGAAAAATTCCCAAAAATGGTTTACCAAATGTTTGGAGGTTTACTATCAGGTATGAAAAATAGCAAACTTTGTACAGATTCTGGATTATTGGTACATAGTTTGTAATTCTGTCAAATGCTATAGATTACCTTAAAGAGGTGCAATTGACGGGGCTTTGCATTTAACATTTTTGAGCTGTTACCGGTACTCAATTTTGAAAACAGGCATTACCTTCAAACTAACAGATTTCTCTGGACCTGGAAATACATTTTTGCTGATCGAAATTTCGAAAGCATTTTACAATCACCATAGTGTACCTATCTTGTTTCGCATTATTATTAGACATTTTTAATTGTGTGACACAGACACAGACACATCCCCATTTCAGTAAAAATTATTTTTCTCTTTTAACTTGCGATTGCGACATACGACATACTCTTTTGATAACTCTTTGGATTTTTATACAATTATGTAAAAACTTAGGCATGCAGGCACGGCCACCTCTAACACCAGGCCGCAGCCTTCGAAGTGGCAACATCGCAAGTAGGGTTGTAACAGCTGTTTTGTTTGGAGGCAGCTAATGGTAATTTGTGTGTTTTTTAAGAATACAAAAGTTTGTTTACTGGACTATGAAAATATTGACTCTAATTTAATGTACAAAAATAGATTTTCAAGTCAAACTTTGTTTTGGTTTTCAGTTCTATATATTTCATTTTCAATCTTTTTATAAATTTACTAGCTGACCCGGCGAACTTCGTATCGCCTAAGTTATAGGATTCCCCTAAGACAGACCGATGGAAAGAAAGTACCGTTACGTTTAATTTTCAAGATGATCTCGTTCGCATCGCTCAATCATGTCCTGGTTGAAGTTCGTTCGCTACGCTCACTCACCTTTGGGTTGGAGCTCGTTCGCTACGCTCACTCACCTTTAGGTTGGAGCTCGTTCGCTGCGCTCACTTGCCTTCAGGTTAGCTCGTTCGCTACGCTCACTCGCCTCTCTCGTTCGCATCGCTCAATCACGTCCTGGTTGAAGTTCGTTCGCTACGCTCACTCACCTTTGGGTTGGAGCTCGTTCGCTACGCTCACTCACCTTTAGGTTGGAGCTCGTTCGCTGCGCTCACTTGCCTTCAGGTTAGCTCGTTCGCTACGCTCACTCGCCTCTCTCGTTCGCATCGCTCAATCACGTCCTGGTTGAAGTTCGTTCGCTACGCTCACTCACCTTTGGGTTGGAGCTCGTTCGCTACGCTCACTCACCTTTGGGTTGAAGTTCGTTCGCTACGCTCACTCACCTTTTGGTTGCAAATTAGCTGTTGTCATAAATGTAAAAGAAATAATAGTGCTGCACCCTGTTGGTAATCCTTGTAACTTTAATGCTATTGAACATCATAGAACAGAACCAACTTGTTTAATTGAAACAGCTGTTAAGATTCATTAATTCCATTTCTCATAAGGTTAACATGGGAAACTCCAGAGCCACTGGGGCGGAGCCCTTTTAAGAATTTCGAAACGGGAAATAGTTTACGTCCGATTCGCATACCTACAGAATTTACACACCAAATTTCATAACGATCGGTGAAGTCGTTCCGGAGGAGTTTGCAGACAAACACTGTGACACGAGAATTTTATATATTAGAAGATGTTCATAAATTTAAATTTATATGAATACACGAATTAATGAGCTGGTGTCACCTGTCTGCCATGTTATCTTATATGGCACGGCTAGCACCTGCACTAGACAACACCACTTGCAACGTTACCAATTCTACCAGGCCATGGCCTGAAGTTAAAGGTGGCCGTGCATGCAGGGAGGGGCATAGATTAAAAATGGTCTCAATCATTGTTGCCACAGTCCACAGAGTACAGACAAGGAACAAGCAGAACCATGTATTTTTTATCTATGCAGAAACTGAAAAATCACAAGACAATTTTTTTTTTTTAACTTTATTTAATTTACAATTTGTTCAAGTTGTACAATAAGCAAATGCTAAAGCCCCGTGTACACGTAGCTAGTTTACTAGCAGCTAGTATTCGCTGCTAGCACTAGCTAGGCACACTAGCGCGAAAATTCCCATCTACACGTGGCTAGTTATTAGCGCTTATTATTAGCGCTAGTCATGTAGAAGTGAAGTGTTCATTAGTCGCAATAGTCATTTCAGTTTAGCACAAAATGTCTTCTGTTCCCTTTAATCGAAATGTTTTGAGACAAATTTTAAGAATTGGTGTACAAGAGTTGTGTGAACATGAACCTAATCTGCGTGGGTTCGAAAGTGGATTAGGAGGCGAGAACTTCTTGGTGCGTCCAATACTCTTTAAAGAGAACAGCCATTGAGAGACCAGAGTACTTTAGGTTTTTGAGAATGAATGCTTTAAAGTTTGATTGTTTGATTGTTGGAACTAATCACTCCACTGATTAAGAAAAATGATACAGTACTGTGATCACTGGCGTATGGCGAGTGGCAATTAGCACTAGCAGAAGTGCAAATGCCCCGCTAGTACCGCGCTAGTTAGCTAGCGCTAGTGGTCACGTGACCACCCCCTCCACTTATTAGCGCTAGTAATATCAAACATGTTCAAAACGACTAGCAGCGAGTAAAATGCTAGCGCGCTAGTAAATTTTTACGCTAGTAGAACGTTTACACGAAGCGAATTTACTAGCGCTAATCAACTAGCTGCTAGTACTAGCCTCGTGTACACGGGGCTTAAGTGTTATCAAAATTATCTTTGTTTGCTAGTGTTGACGGTGGTCAATCACTAGCTCATGTTCTTCAAGTTATTTTTGTATTACAAGACAAATTAATTAAGTTAGAAAAAGAGGAAAAACCAAACTTGCTTCACAACACAACACAACGTCATAACAAAAGCCGCGTTTACACCGGAGTTTGAAACACGAGTTGCAAACAGAAATTGCAAACATCTCTAAAAACGCCCATTTTCAGACGAAACTTTTCGCTGTTGCAAACAGTTTTTCGGTGTTTGCAACAGAAATTTTTGTTTCCACTTGAAGTCGGTAAAGATCAAAGGGAGTTGCAAACTCTTTGTTTGCAACACTAGTTTCGGTCACTGTGAGCCGTTGAAACACGAAACAGAAACATTTCTCCGCCATCCCCGGACGCTACCACCTCCTGTCTCACTCACGTGATCACTCGCACCACCCTGTATCTCGACTCAGTACCCTGTCTGGACGGCTACCTCGTTATTGTTGTGACTTATCTCGTATCGTGCGTGTTGTGAGTGATGATCTACTGAGTGAGATGGAGTGAAGGAAGAGATTACAATATTATTAAGTTAATTAGCTTTTATAGAGAACATGAAGTGCTTTGGAATCAAACTATTTCTGACTATAAAAACAAAAACAAGAAAAACTATGCGTGGAATGACATTTCACGGGAAATTAACTTAAGCTAGGCAGAGGTCCAAAATAGGATGAGGAACCTCATAATTCAATTTAACAGAGAATCTAAAAAGGGCAATAAGTCTGGATCGGGGGCCGACGATGGGAAAACCAAGTGGGAGTTTTTTTTTTATCAATCAATGATATTTCAATCAAGGTCGAAATTATTTCAAACATTTTCATGAAACATGGAAACAAAACCATGAAATAAAAATTGCAAACTTTTATTTGAAACTACTGTTTGCAACTGGTGTTTGCAATAAAAGTTTGCAACTTTTTGTTTGAAACTCCGGTGTAAACGCGGCTAAACACTACCTCGGTCAGAACAGAAAAAAGTCAACATGGTTTTGAAGGTTAATTGAAACTGTTTTGTTGAAAGTTGAAAGGAAAGTCGAGTCAAACGTGTTGGTGTCACGGTGACACCGTAGAACAGGTTTCTAATTCTAATTTTGTCATTCGGTGTCGGTCTGTCATTTCATTTGACATTTCTCAGTCTCAAGTCTCAAGGCTCTATTCTTCCTAGTCATGGCAGGCTCCAAATCTGAATCTCGGTCTGCTAAGACTGAAAATAAACCCAGTTTATTTGCAAACATTTATTTGTTTTCCTACAATTTCATTCAAGTGTTTGGGTAAGTAAAACCTGATATGCAAATATAATAATTAATGATTAGGCATTTCCTTGCTATGCCTAGTAGGCCCTGCGTAGTTTTAGGTTATGAAGTCAGACTTGGCATATAGGTCTCCTTAAAAACCAATGACATCTCTATTGCAATTAATTTAACATATCGTCTTGGTTTCATGAATCTTTATTTTAAATTAAATCCATCAATAAAATCTCTTAATATTAAGTTAAAGTAGTTCGTACAAATATACATAACCTAAGCTAACCTAAGTCTAGGCCTAATAAACTAATCCAAATGATTTAAGTTACCGGTATTTGTTATTGCTAGAATGGATTAAATTAGTGTGAAAAAATCAGGTAGGCCTAAGTTAGGGTACATTCCTGTTAAAGGGGACATTCATTATTATTGATGATTTGTTTTTCGATATATCGATATTTTATATTTCGGTAAATATGCATTTTAGGGTTTGCACGCGATTTTTGAAATTTTTTTTTTCATTCTACTCGAAATTTAACGCTGATTCCGAAAATGACGTTCTTTTTCCGCGGAAAACGACCATAACGCGGAAAAACGACCAAAACGACCAAAAACTCTTTTTTTACCAAAACACGTCATGTGGGTACTCAAATTAACCGTAATATTAAGCAGATCACGACTATGCAAGAATTTTTTGGATCCGAGGTCAAATAAGCGAGATTTTCACGTAAATATGCGATGCTATTTTGGATTTTTGCTCTAACTTTTGTCTGTGTTATCTGGTGTGTATGTTTTAATTTAACAGGTAAAAGGGATGATACTATGCATAACCTAACTTAACCTAACCTACCCTAACCTAACCAAACCTAACCTAACCAACCTAACCTAACCAACCTAACCTAACCTAACCAACCTAACCTAACCAAACTGACCTAACCTAACTTAACCTAACCTAACCTAACCTAATCAACCTAACCTAACCAACCTAACCTAACCAACCTAACCTAACCAACCTAACCTAACCTAACCTAACCTAACCTAATCAATCTAACCTAACCTAACCTAATCAATCTAACCTAACCTAACCTAACCAACCTAACCTAACGAACCTAACCTAACCTAACCAAAATAACCTAACCAACCTAACCTAACCTAACCTAACCAACCTAACCTAACCAACCTAACCAACCTAACCTAACCTAACCAAACCTAACCTAACCAACCTAACCAACCTAACCTAACCTAACCAACCTAACCTAACCTAACCAACCTAACCTAACCTAACGAGCAACATGGCAGTGCTACTACAACCAATGAATAGGTTGGTACTGAAAAATTTCCCAATTTCAAGCATATCTCCCATAATTCTCCCGACTAATTACCCATTATTTTTTACACATTAAATTACAACGATAAACCACGTTAGATGTCTCCCCCACCCAAAACCCCGAATTCCCACCTGTCCCCTAGTGAGTTGGAGTTATTGCTGGTAGTATCACGTTTTCGTGAATATCTCGCTTATTTGACCTCGGATCCAAAAAATTCTTGCATAGTCGTGATCTGCTAAATATTCCGGTTAATTTGAGTACCCACATGACGTGTTTTGGTAAAAAAAGAGTTTTTGGTCGTTTTGGTCGTTTTTCCGCGTTATGGTCGTTTTCCGCGGAAAAAGAACGTCATTTTCGGAATCAGCGTTAAATTTCGAGTAGAATGAAAAAAAAAAATTCAAAAATCGCGTGCAAACCCTAAAATGCATATTAACCTATATTTCGATCCTATCCACAAATTGAAACATATCAGCTGATAACCGCGATAAATAAATATTGTTCAGTAGTCCCTATCAACAGACAATTAAAAAAATATTATATTGAAATGAAACTTTTCTAAGCTAAGTCCTTACCTAACCAACCAAACTTGCTATAAGTTAACATTTCAAAATTCTGTTTGATGATTCTCCACACGCCTTTTCTGTTTTTAAATGGTACAACAAGTTTGTTTAGTTATTTTGGGTTGGTTTAGAACAGTTTCATTTCTCAATCCAAAAAGGCCTTAGGTATATTATTTTTGCCTGAACAAGATCAGTTGTCAATTCGTAATTTAAATTCATTAGCGTTTGAAGATATTGAAACGCAAGTAATAGCCTATGAATTGTAAAGGGGAAAATAACGATATATTGAAAAAACATCATCGATAATAATGAATCCTATACTCTAATACGAGCAATGTTTGCTTGTACGTCTTATGTATGCTTGCTTGCTTGCACCAAGATCTCGAAAACGGCTCCGACAATTTTCTTCAAATGTTGTGAATAGTTTATTCCTGGCTTAAAAACGAGTTTACTGCAGATAGAACTGCCAACAAAAATCTAATTACGTAGAAAAATGAAACTGAAAGTCACATTTGTTTAACATTAGTCTTATGGGTTGCTAAGTAACCATCTCGGCTGAATTAAATAACAAGGAAAAAGTAAACAAAAGACTTGTAAGTTGTCTATCCACAGTATACTAGCAAATTAAAAATACAGTACAAGAGGAAAAACATCAGTTGTTACTATTGAGCAAAGATTATAGGCTACTGAAGATTACTCGATACATTGTAGTCAAGGGTAGCAGTGTGTGGAGTGTGGGATCTGTTTATGACGATTAGATTACAGTATCTGCAATCCTTAAATCCTTAAATGCTATGGGAACTGGGAAGGGAAGGAAACAGGTCCGCGACGTAGAAAGTGATGAAGGAAGTAGTCAAGCAGTCCGGAGTGTGGGAACTGTTTATGACGATTAGATTAAGGAATATGCAATCCTAAAATGCTATGTGAAGGGAGGGAAACAGGTCCGCGACGTAGGAAGTGATGAAGGAAGTAGTAAATGCAAGCAGTCTGGAGAGTGGGAACTGTTCTGTGACGATTAGATTAAGGAATATGCAATCCTAAAATGCTATGGGAAGGGTGGGAAACAGGTCCGTGGCGTAGGAAGTGATGACGGAAGTAGTAAAGGTGAGCAGTCTGGAGCGTGGGAACTGTTTTTGATGATTACATTAAGGTATCTACAATCCTACAATGCTATGTGGAGGGAGGAAAACAGGTCTGCGACGCAGGAAGTGGTGATGGAAATAGTAAAGGTGAGCAGTCCGGAGTGTGGGATCTGTTTATGACGATTAGATTAAGGTATCTACAATCCTTAAATGCTATGAGAAGGGATGGAAACAGGTCCACGACACAGGAAACGGTGAAAGAATTAATAAAGGCTAGCAGTGCGGAGTGTGGGGAATGGATTCATGTAGCCTATCTGCAATACTAAGACTGCTCTCAGAGTAAACTAATGACTTCCCACGAGCAAAGCTCGGTCCCCAGGTACTGTTCCCTTTAACAGGAAAGTACCAAAAATAAATTAAATTTAAGGCCTATTAGGTCATTTTTAGCTTCAGTCCTATTTCAGTTTGAGGTTAAAAGTATAAGATTTGATTTAACTTAGGTATTCAATTGTACAGTTTTTATAACCGTAAAATCACATTTATTGTTTGGTAGCTTAGACTAGCTTTAAAAAATGCTGATGTGCAGATGGTCTTACCTGCTGTACCAACTTGTGAACCACTACACAAGTGGTCGAACCACAGACACTCTTTGGAACGAGGTCAGACTTACTGTCATTATCTTCCAGAATGCAGCTGTTCTTGAGGTAAATTCTATTCTAAATTCTATTTTATTGTAAAACTAATCACACAACCACTGGGACGCAGTATATGCCTCTCATTTAGATGAAACTATATTTAAACAATTTTGTGCACTCGTCCACGCAACGCAATAGATGTCTGCTCCACCGGCAGTGGCCGGCCATCGCGCAGCCGCATTGAACGTGTTAACATAGTTTAACATAATATTTTTAATATCTTTTGTTACATTGAAGGCCTACTAATTCTTCTATTGTTTTTTTAGCTTTGAGGAAAAACTATCTAGCCTATCCAATCAAGGTTGTTATCCAGAAGTTATTTTTTTGCAGATTTTGAACGTAGCCATAGGGATTGTCAAATCCAACCTCATGTTGACGACATTTCAAGTATTCTCACGTGTGATGGTAGTTTGTGGGATCCTACTGGCCACGCCTACTGCCCCTCTCTCTCCCGGCCTGCCTCTCGCTCTGCTTGCGTGGTCGGTCACGGAGGTCATTCGTTATCTCTACTACGCACTCAACATTGTCGGACTCGTACCTTATGTCCTCATCTGGTGCAGGTGAAGTACATGTTCATTTAAAAAAGTGGCGTGATATGGTTTTCTTATTTTAAAATGTATAGGGTATGTGTGGTAAGGGATGAGGCAACCCCTAATCCTCACATTTATCATCTTGGTCTGATCCACAAATATTCAAACTGGTAAGTAGTATGGATTATTTAAACAAAAACAAATTATATCAAATGCCAGAACTTAAAATTGTAACATTTTTGTTTCGGGTCAGTGACATAATGTTTGTGATCCATACAGTTAGCTGTTCTAATATCAATCAGTACTCTAAACTCATACGAGTTATAACTTACTTAATTTGTGTTTCTACTTTTTTTTATGAAATATTAGCCTATGCTGAGTTTAAAGAATCAGAAAGAAAATATTATGCTGAAAATTTAAAAAGTGGCATGACTGAAAGTCCATGACTGAGTGAGTGGTTGACTGAACATTTAACTAATTAACTCAATCACTTATTAAACTCAAAAACAGACCAGAGATTGCAGGTAGACCAGACCGTTGGTGTGGAAAGTGTGCCTTAACCCTCCGAGTGTCCTTAGTTTTGGCCTTAATGTCTGCCTATTTTTTGCGCATTTGCAAGGTTTTATTAAAACGGATCTGAGAAGCTTAAAAACAATGTTAATTATACTGTTCTATATACCATTTTGTTTGGAAAATCATGGGCTTCAATATTATACATAAAACATAAGGAACATTTGTTTCAAAACAATTTTTAGGTAAAAAAAAATATTTTGGAAAACTTAAAAAAAAAAAATAAGTTTGCGCTCAATGAAATTGTATAAATTATAGGCCTATAAATATTTGAAAATAGCCACTTTGTTCTAAATTTTATGAGGATTACAAATATATAATAATATAAGGAAGTAGATTTGCAAATAAATAAGTTATGGGCAAAAAACAGATTTCAGTACATAGCGTTTAGCTAAGAATGCATAGCCTAACCATAGTTAGGAATCTGGCTGATAATCTACATCAATATCACTACCTACTTCTTCAGGATCATCAACCAGCCCTTCAAAATCACTTAAATCTTCTTATAATGCACCACGTATATCACTACTTTTGATTTTTAACACTAAAACAATGATAAACGTAATAAAACACATCAGTCATCGGTGCGAGGTTAACCAAGCTGTTTACAAATATGCACGTCAGCTGTCTGCTACAATTATGATCGGCTCGAGAAAAAAAAGCGCTTAGAGACAGACCTCCGGAGAAAGCTTAGAATCTGACAAATAAAACGATACCTAACTCGATCCAGTTCAATCCGATTTTGTCAGTCATAGAGCCTTCGCCGTAAACAGTGTTTGTGAGTCGAAGCATCGACACAAAACACTACACAAAGTGTGTTATGTGTCGAAGCTTCGACAAATAACACTCGGAGGGTTAATGCCTAAGTACCAGAATATTTTGGATTGACTATAGTCTTGTTAGCTTTTTAAATCATTTAAAGCTGTTTTTGTTGGGGGTTTGGGGCAATACTACCATTTGACACTTGCAACGATTATTTTTAACCTAATTAGACAGTAGTTATAGCCTAGTAATTGATTTTGCAGGTACACTTTCTTTATCGCCTTGTATCCCATTGGCATCACGGGTGAGCTGTTGTGCATGTACGCTGCACAGAAGTTTGTAGGCGAGACCCAACTTTGGAGTGTCAGTTTGCCGAACAAGTACAACTTTACGTTTAGTTACCATTACCTGATAATCTACATCATGCTTCTCTACATACCTTGTAAGTATGGTTCTTTATCAAATAACCTGAAAATCTATGTCAGCTATTCTCACTCCTTTTATTGATGGATCTCATTTTCACATTGATGTAACTTTTTCTCAATTTTTCCCGAGTTACCACTCTCTTTGGATATAAACCTATGTTTAGGTTTGGTATGACTATTGACTATTGGATAGCCTACTATATAGTCAGTATGACTGAAAAAGTGTGCAAAATGAAAAACATTAAATAAATAGTAAAGTCTTACCTTAGCAATCCTTATTATGGTGGTCCGATATTAATTTCAAACCCGTAGGTTCATCATCAGTCGGAAGTTTAGGTAGACCAAATGTTTGTTATAAAATCCACTCGATGGGTTTCGTAGAAATGTTGACATTTAACACGAAGGCACACATTACAGTTGACATAAATAATATTCGTAGTTTAGGGATAAAAACCATGGTTTTATAAAACAGTGGGATAACCTCACTTCAGTCAGGGAACACGCTGCCGGCAGAACTGTCAAAATATAGTCAGGATTGTGGGTTGAGGTTATGTTGAGATTTTTTGTTGAACCTCAACCCACAATCCTGACTATATTTTGACAGTTCTGCCGGCAGCGTGTTCCCTGACTGAAGTGAGGTTATCCCACTGTTTTATAAAACCATGGTTTTTATCCCTAAACTACGAATATTATTTATGTCAACTGTAATGTGTGCCTTCGTGTTAAATGTCAACATTTCTACGAAACCCATCGGGTGGATTTTATAACAAACATTTGGTCTACCTAAACTTCCGACTGATGATGAACCTACGGGTTTGAAATTAATATCGGACCACCATAATAAGGATTGCTAAGGTAAGACTTTACTATTTATTTGATTATATAAGCAATCCAGAGGCTGAAATGATGAAAAACATTATTTAAAAGTAGCAAAAACTGTTGGGGCTCAATTCAACTAGGCCTATTACGTTCTTTTTATTCCAACACTAAAATGCTGAGTCAATGGTGCTTTTGTTGATGACTTTCCAGCCTTAGTTAAATGAAAAACTTCAGAGCTTTTAATATTTAAAGAAAATCCCACCAAATGTTTTTATTCACTATCCAGTTTGGTACTTTACGACGCAGAAATCTTTGTTTAGTATTTATTTGCTAGCTACATAATTCAACAAATACAAGAAAAAACTGGACTTCTCAGCATTTCTTCAAACAATAGAAGTAATAAAGCACGGTTGTAAGGAAACCCAATTATTAGACTAATTCTCTTATGTTTACGTTTCCACTCTTTTCCTAAGACAACAATCTGTCTGTTGCAGTGTTCCCTCAACTTTACCTACATATGTTTGGACAGCGCAAGAAAATTATCGGTACACCTCAGTCGGCTAAAGCTAAGAGCTCGTAAATTCAACATCTCATAACAAAGAGTGCCTTTAATTGCTCAATTTGTTATTAATTTATTAGCAATTTTACACCGATGTTACCTCGTTTTCTTTTCATTGTTAAATCTATTACTTGGTTCAGGGTAAAAAGGTTAGTGTTGGTGTGATTTAAAATTGTAAAAGCTCTCTATTTGAATGGGAATGTTAGTTTTAGTCAAAGATGGTTTAGGTTTAGTGAGATAATAGTTGATGCATTAAAACGTGCATAACAATTTAAGTTTGTGTTTATAAAAAAAAATTCAATTTAAATGGTCTGAGCATATACATTCCTTAGCATGTTTATTTTATACTTGTTTTACATTTTTGTATTGTGTGGTTTTACTTATAGTATGTTTATATTCAAATAAAACTTAAATATTATATGTGATTAGTAATATTTTATTCTAGCAAACCTAAAATAATAATGACTTGCTGTACTGTTTCTGTTAATAAATATTTTATTTTGTTAAATTAAAGCTTCTTCTAATTTTGTCCCATTTTTAGTCAAGCTCTGTGAAACGGAGACCAATTAATTAGAGCTAAACAAGACAATTCAGGATTTTTTGGAGATGTCTATTGATTGCGCCCAGCTCCACTGAAAAATGGCTTTAAACAGCAAATTATAAGTATACTAGCTGTAACCCGCGGGCTTTGCCCCGTTTAACTTCTTAATTTTCAAGATTATCTCGTTCGCATGGCTCAATCACGTCCTGGTTGAAGTTTGTTCGCTACGCTCACTCACTTTTAGGTTGGAGCTCGTTCGCTACGCTCACTCACCTTTAGGTTGGAACTCGTTCGCTGCGCTCACTTGCCTTCAGGTTAGCTCGTTCGCTACGCTAACTCGCCTCCGGGTTGAAGCTTTTGTAGCAAATTAGCTGTTGTCATAAATGTAAAAGAAATAATAGTGCTGCACCCTGTTGGTAATCCTTGTAACTTTAATGCTATTGAACATCATAGAACAGAACCAACTTGTTTAATTGAAACAGCTGTTAACAGGGTGTCCACAAAAAATTTGTCATTAATTTCCATGACTTTCCATGACTATCCATGACCATTTACCATCGATTTCCATGACTCACGAACTTTACACGCAAATTATAATATAACATACACACACAAATAATACTGCCTGAACATGTTATTTTGCAGAAAATACTGAAGTATGTAATAACAGATAACAATGGAGTACAATAGGTACAACAATGAACCAAAACAAACCGAAAACTCATAAAATAATACAACTGTAATAAATTGAATTGTCGAACATTTGTGTAAAATCCTGAAAAATGCTACAACAGTCCGGGTTACGGCTGACTAGAGCATTGAATGGTCCCCTCAAATCCATCCATAATTGGACATTTCCATGACTTTCCATGACTTCTTGCCTATTTCCCTGACTTTCAATGACCAACATTTTTTTCCATGACTTTCCATGACTATCCCTGACTTTCCAGAATGTGGACACCCTGGTTAATATTCAATAATTCCATTTCTCATAAGGTTAACATGGGAAACTCCAGAGCCACTGGGGCGGAGCCCGAAAGAATTTTTGAAATAAGAATATGCCTATATGTTAATCGGAAATGTGAGCTATCATCATGCCAAATTTGAGCCCAATCCGACCAGTATTTTTCGCGTTCATTACTGTCCTCTGTCCTCTGTGCTCTACTGTCCTCTACTGCTGGATAATATATTGTGCAGCTGTAGCACTAGTAAACGATAGCCATAGTGATTTTGTTGGCATTAATACTATGCTTATGTTAAATTTACTATACTCTATTACTATTACTATATTTCTTTCTTATTACTCTTCATCTTTAAGAAGTGTTTTGCTCAGTTTAAGTTGCTATCAATGCTCTGTAGAATAAGTTATTAACCCTATTTTGGTGTTTTACTACCCAATTTAATTACAAAATTTATTGCACTCTTTATAATATTTTTTTTGGAAATTCCTAAAAAATTGGGAGTGATTTTTTTTAGACCAACCCAAAATGAAGTTTTAGTTCTGAGCATCATTAAAATCAATCTAGTACTTTTTGGTCCAATGGTTTTTTAATCATAGGCACCTCATTTTTATCACAGTAGGCCTCTGCCAATATATATACAACTTTATCACAACAAATTCCTTCCACTTGTATGAATGAGGGATTAAAGGAAACATTTGCTCAATTGAAGTTATTCTTTTTATTTAACTTAGACGTATAAAAACAGACAAGTAAACATACATTTCAACACTGGTATGTACCAAATATCAAAACTAAGTATAAACAAATGTAGATTCCTCAACACGTGAGGGGAGATCAAAAGACTATTTACAAATAGTTCTCACGTTTTTACTTTATACACTTCTATTATATTATTCTGCTCAGAGGAATCATATAAAAAAAATATTACTCAAAATCTACAAAAACTTATTCCGTCTTTACAAGACAATGGGTCCCAAATAAAATGTGTAGCTGGGTCGAAGAAATAACTAACTGAATCAATCTTCATCAGGTACAAAATTGTTTCTATAACATGTACATTGTAAGCTCAGGTATAGGTTGTGTACAGGTTTCAATACATGTTCTGTAGTAGGATTTACTGTATCACTGGTTTCATACGGTTTTTGATAAAGATAATAAACACAACTTTTACAGTTACAGTACAAATGTTTTGCCACTTTTAGAATGCAAGAAACTAGTTTCTAGTCTGTTTGTAGAAAAGGGTGTGTTGCTAGCCTAGTGTGTTACCTCCGACTTCGGTGTGGGAGTGGAGGGACAGGTTAAATTCCCGGTAAATCCACAAAACTTTGGCTTTGGACCGTTTCCTCTTAAAAGGTTTGAACTGACCTAGATATAAAAATTCCATTGGCGTAGAGACAAGAAAAAAAGCAGGCAGACGTTTATGTAAAGGGGTTGGTAAAACATTCAATTCATACAAAACACTTTTGGGAACTAAAGAAAAGACACTAGGGTTTCCTCAGAAGGCTATTAACCAGTGCTATATTCACCAGGCCAGCAGCGTTTTGTACAAAAACAACTTGACAAATGTTGAAAACCTTTTCCTTTTAATAAATAATTTGCCATGATTGTAGGATATGTTGATAATAATGTGTCCCAATGATCACAGATGTTCAATTAATTAAATTGCTGAATTAATTTTGTGCCTCACTAATTTTTAAGTTAAATTCAACCAACAAACCTAATTACTTAGACTAACAATTTACTACTATTTTATTAACGTACTATTATTTTTATAAACTAACAATTTACTATACTTTTTATTAACCCTGAGTAAAACACTGTAATATAAAATATATCCTTTTGTCATAGTTTATTAAATACATAATCCGTATACAAACAGTCACTGTGTGTAATGTTACAGAAAATGATAATACTGTTTATGAGAACTTATTCCGGGGATTGAATGTTGAAGTGTTGACAAACTACGATGAAAATTGTAGTTCTTATACACTTTGGGGGGAAAAAACATGTCACTGTTTTTGAAGAAAGTGAAACTTGAGCAGTTGAACTTGGCGGCAGCGTTTACAGCAAACGACCTCGGCAATGGTTACTGCCGCAGTAGCACAGCATAACCTGAGCATGACAAATTAAACATCAGCATATGGTTGCGGAACCAAACATATGTATGGCCAAGAGGCATGTGGCTATTCTCTTACTTTACGGCTTGCCTGAAGATTGCTAATACTTCTTTGTGCAGTACGGTATAAAGTATGCCTCCTAGCTCGTTGAGCTACCGAAACATATGAGATGGGAATTATCTCTTGTAGAATAAAATCTCTGCATGTAACATTTAATAAAAACCTTCAACAAAAAATAAAAAATAATTTGTTGTCCCAGCAAAAAATCACCTTTGCTGTTATACAAAATATGTGCATGCAAATATACAAAACTACTTCAGTATCACTTTATACAAAACTTGAAAACTGCATAGGGTATGGAAAAGTACTTTACAGCTTTTAATTTATAGCTTCATGAGCATGTAATTTTTTGTACAAGATCATCTTTTCAGGTTCCATATTGTTCTGCATTTTCAGTAATTAAAATAATTTCCAAATCATACTTGAAAATGTATAGGGTCTCAAAGGTCAAGCAGACAACCAGTTAGATAGTTTGCAAAACCTTTGATGCATATTATAGCACATGGTACAGAAAGTTGTGCAAAAAAGCGCTTGACGTTCAAAAGGTGTTTATCATATTTAAATTAACAGCAATAAAAGGCCAAATTAAGTAAACTCACCAAGAAGATATTTAATAAAAGAAATAAAAGTTACATGAAAACAAACTGGATAAAGAAACTATGGAAGTCTTTGTAAAGCCAAACATCTTTGAAGACAACCCAAGTGAAAAATATAAGAAAAAAAAGAGGATCTCTGAACACACTAAAAAATAGCAGGAAAGAAGCGTACAGAAGAGAGAAGAAAAATCACAGTAAAGAAAATGTGTATGTAAAAATAAGATTCGGCTATCATGGCCGATTTTCTTTTAACACTGTCAAAAGGGGAATAACCAATAATAACGCTGAATTACCTTGCCAGGCACACTGCCCACGTCGTAGTTGTAGTCCCAGGTGAGCTCTGTACCAGCTGCGATATACTGGTTAGCAAAGAACGCCACCCACGGGAACCTGAGATCGTGAGTGTCTACGAACACATTCTGAACAAAAACGTTGGGGCTGCACGAGTGCTGTGAACAAATACAAGATGTTATACTATGAATGTATGAAGGTCAATGAATAGATTACCAAAACGCTGAAGAGCTAACAGTTATACCAGTAGAGCCAAAAATAAAAGTTGTTACACGAATGAAATGAATATAAAAAAATATATACATCAGAAGTTAATGATCAGACCGAAAAAGCTGTGTAATAACACATTAAATAGTTTGGCATTATCATTTAGAGAAACCACGTCTTGCATTCTTTTTTTTTATTCGATTGTTTTGATTATCCACGATAATGTGGCTGAAAGATCATCCATGATAAAAAATGTGGATAATGCAAACCTAAATTCAGAGAAATAAATAACATTGACTTTGAACACATAGTTAGGCTTAAACACAAATTTAGGTGATAATAACAGCATAGATAGATTTCCTTGGTAGATTCCTTGGCAGATTTCCTATCCTTAGAAAGCAGTACTGTAGATTAAGGTTTCGAATCTTGGCTCGGTCAGGTTTGGTGAAACTCAACGATCTTACTGTGTGTCACCAAAACCTTAATTTAACATAATTCAGATTATTGCAATTAAATTAGAAATGAGTGAAAAACATGATTAAAATAGGCATAATCAACTCAATTAGTTCAAGGGAGTTCAAATAGTTCAACGAAGTATGGTAAGTAAATTTTAGTAATGTCTCTAGACTTAGAAACACTAAATTTATTCTGAACAACATATTCAAATACAATAAAGGCTAGTCGTAGTTAAGCATTTAGAAACACTTACATTTAAGTACCTCCCGATGTTTCCGTGAGTTTTGGCGTCCATGATATAAACATTCTCATCAGGGCCGTAAAGCTCACGCACCGAGGGATACTTGACTTCCTCGTCGTCTCCCTGGTTAACGGTGATGTTGGCATCAAAAGTTTGGGGTTTGCGAACTGCAAAACAAATAAAAAATCAACCTTCAAAGGAGTGTTTTATTGATGTCTCTCGTATTTGAACATGTTTTAAGTCATATTTAACACCAATTGCTCAATGTAATAATGAGGTATCTTAATAAGAAAAAGAATTAAAAGATTTTAGTCCAATAAAAAAATATCTGTCAGTTTTTAATAAGCAAGTTACCATATGATAAAAATTCATTAATAACAGGAAATTTTAAAACTGGCAATCATCATCTCAACATTCTTCAAGCTAAAATATTTTGATAAGTGCTTCTATACAAATAACGCCCTTGTGCAAAGGGAAATGTATCAGAGCCCAGTAAGCATAAACACAATGATAAGCGGCAATGAATTAATGATTATTTTTAAAGATCTGTCTAGTAGACTTAAAAGTGTAATGTTGAATAATTAAATAAATTATAATTCAGAAGGCCTTGGCCGCAGTTCAGTGCCCAATAATATCTGTGCTTCATCTAATCAGCAACAAGATATTCCATGTAACCAGGCAGGAAATGGAAAGTGGTAGTAGTAACCAATGCAAAGCAGAAAACAATTTTGTAAGTACATTTTCTAACATCAATTGTCTACATTTTGTTTCAACTTAACAAAATCACACTATACCAAAACAGACATCTTACCGAGAGCGTCACACCTGGGGCAAACCCAAGAACTTTTGTTGGAGCCTAACTTATCGACGTTAGCGCTAGTTTTTAACGGAGTGCATTTAAAGTGGTATGACTTCATGCACCCTTGACAGCGAAGGGAATCTCTAACACTGTCAATGTTCTCTCGGCATCCTCCACATTGTCCTTCGGAAGCAAAAGGGAAGCAAGCATAGAAGTGTTAGTGTGTTAAAGTCTAATTGAAACTACAACAGGTTACTATGACTTGTTAATAGCTACAAACAAGTTTTATAGATTTAATTTGAGATTGTACGTACAATTGATACATCAAGTTTTTATGGTTTAATTCGTAAGTGTAAAGTGTAAAATTTACATGATCATTTTGTGACTCTCAACAGCCTAATTTATAATTATATTGAAGAAAATAAAAGAACTTAAAAAAGTAGTTACAATATAGGTTCTATTGTTGATATTTATTTATTAGTCCTCCAAGAATTTCCTCTTATAAAAAAAAACTGAAAGGGCAGGAAAATTAAATCATCATGACTCAAATATAGAACGAGACAACCTAACGTACAATAATCCTGGAGCCAACAAAAGACACGAATGATTGACGGTAGAGGTGGAAATATTTTTGAAAATAACATTATAATGTAAACAGTATCATATAACTAAGAGTGAGAGACCAACCCTATATTAACATTTAAACACTTAGTGGACATGCAACAATAACAATTTCTTTTACATCATACTATCCAGAAACAGCTGTTTTCTGTACCTTTTTGTAGGTGAGTAAGTTACTCTTTGCCATATAGTAAATTACTTACTGCTGATTCATTAGACAGCTGATCAAATGAATAGCTGATTGCAACAATTCAATAATCAAAAATAGTATTGAATTAGAAGTGATTACTTCTTTGTAAACACTGAGAATGGCAAGATTAAAGTTTGTAAAAAACTATTAAAAAATCCAAAGAGTTACTACTAAAATATTACAAAAACAAGAAACATTTAATCTAACGGATGTTTATAAACACCCATCACACTCAGAATTTGTGGCAAATATGTCTGAGAGTGAAACGTTTCTCTCCATAAAAAATCACCTCTGGGCAAGGGATTCAGCGTTTTAAAACAATACAAACTATTACCATCAATTCAAATAAGGTTTCTTTTTCTGCAAAAACAAAAATATTTTAATTAATGTTAATAGTTACATAGTGTACTAAAAATATGTCTTAGTTTTTCTGTGCAGTATGATGTAAAGTATTGTACGTAACTCGCCCGGCAAGCTTTACCGTACTCGCATGATAATCCTGAACTATCGTGCTCGCACTGCGAGCCCCCACTTACCGGGCTAGTAACGTAATATACAAATCCCAATTTAATAAAAACTAAGCTACAATCTGGGTAGAAGCAAAGCTTTTGAGTAGATGAAAATGGGAAGTTTGAATAAAAGACAAAGGGTGTTAAACTGAAGAAAAGTGAGTTAAGAACTCAAAATATGGGGAAACTGATTATAGCATTGATCTAAACTGACAAACCGTTTATCTAGAAGCAAACAAAAAGCTGAAATTGTGAGTGGAAAAACCAAAAGTATGACTGTTCAAGATAACATGAGTGACCCCAGCACGAACAACTTCGCTTACCTTTGTCGTTAAACGGAGTCACGGTGTAGTAAAAATTATCTACAACAAGGAAGTTCTTTAGGACTTAAACTGGGCAGACAGGACAACAGCGAGTACTAATTTATAAAGATAAGAGTAATCAACAGGGTGGCCACATAACTCCTTGGAAAAAATGCACATATTTTTCCCGGTCACCAAATAAACCTTTTTACTTGCGGTTCTGCCGGTCTGCAATATTTTCAGGTCGAGTCAGACCAATGGTTGGCCCAATGGAATTGTTTGGGCCAAGTATATTTTTGCGGTCGTGGAAAGCGTTTGTGAAGATCTAATTAAAAATGACGAATTCGCGCCATTGCAGATGCCGATGAAGTTTACGGTTTCACATTCACAATTCCGGCATGTCCAAGGAAGATGTTCACAATTTCACTAGCTCTAATGAAGTGTAAAATTTGAACAGAGTTTCATGAGGATTTGTGTGAGCAAACAAATTATGTAGCTGAGTGTTAAATCCATATGGCACTCAAATAAGGTTTTTACAGTGGAATTCCAAAATTCACACATAATTTCCAGGTTTATCACAACAAATTCATGCACATTTCCCGGGATTTTTGGTCTGTGGCCACCCTGACCAATAAAGGTTTGAGTTTAAATGGCATTTGGTTCAAGTATGAAATAGGATTCACCATGACATCAAAGATGTTTCCGTTAAGGCAAGACCTATTTATGACACCAATATAAATGAAGACATTACTCTGAATTCTGAAATTGATAAGTTATCAAATTATATTGGTTTTATAGGAATAAAAAAAGCTACTATTATATCAATTAGTTGAACATATGTAACAATATTGTTTCTTCATAATGTTGCCAAACGGCTAAATCATTTTCCAGAACAAACTTATCACACACTTTTAAAAAAAAAGTTCTATATTTTGGCGTTAGCCTTCTTCAGGAACAAACAAACAATAACAAATAGAAGTGTTTACCACTCTAAATCAGATGTTTTTAGCAAAAATCCAAAATACATATAATTTATGAAGAAGTAAAAAGAAAATGTTGATAGAAAGAAAGAAAATATGATTTATATACTAACTCAAATTTAGACCGGAAGGTGTTTTAGATTTAAGTATTAATTGATGAGCTTGCTCAAGCTGTCTTAATTTTAAGTCTGATACATCTTTTGCCAATTTTCTTATTCCTTTTAATGAATAACATTGTTGAAAATTTTAAGAATGCTCTCTCGCATGAATAGCCACAGGTTTTTGTTTATCAGGATGGTTTACATCATATCTGTGGCCATTCATACGAACTCTAAGAGCATTTGTGGTTTTGCCAATGTAGTGTTTAGGACAAACTTATATGGGAAGCGTCAAGTGAAATTTAACTTTTATACTAAAAAAAAACGACAATTAGACTAAATTTAATGACCAATTTCCTACAAACCAACAGTCCAACACTGTACAAAGACGATTTCATCAATTTCATAACTCAAACCTTATTCAACACTTAATGCCACTTGTTCTAACGGTCAAGAGTAACTTCGACCTACATTTATTGACTCACACTCACAACACAAGACGTAAAAATTCAACAACAGTACGAAACAATATTGGTTTGAACAATTTAGCTTATTTTCACCATACTTGGGACCTGATATCTAACAGACTACCTGCAGTTAAACAAACTGATGGTATTCTAAAAATTGTGAACTGGAGAAGGCTATCTATTCCGGGAATATTTTTATGTAAATATAATTATTTGCAGAAATAGGCCCACAACTAATTACAACAGAAACTCCTGATAACTAATTTTAACATGACTGGCAAACTTCCTGTAAATGATTTGGTTTAAAGTGATTTGTATAAACTTTAATTGAAAAAGGACAAGCTATATATTGATACTTATCAATATTAATTAATTGTAGATTCAAATGATCATATGGCATGGCCTTGTTACAGAAAAATTGTGCTTGGAGATTATTATCAATCACCATGTAAAAAAGCTTTACTCGTGCCATTTTTCTTAGGCTACAGCCACACAAGTCGAAAATATAAGTTTTGATGACCAGGACACCTAGTTTGGATTAAGACTAGCAAAAGCTAACAAGTAAGGTTTTAGATTTTCCATCAGATTGCAAATCGATTCATTTTCAACAACAAAATACAAGATTAGCTAAACCGATATATTCACAAATGAAGAAAAAAAAAACAGTTACATATGGAAATTAAAACATTGCTATGAAAAGTTGTAAATAATTCATGTAGATGTTTATAAAATTATCAGCTAAATATGAAATTCAGATATGTCTTATAACAAAAGAAACCACTAAGCAGAATCACTGTGAATTCAAATGTCGTGTAAAGGACCCCCCTAACAATTCAATGACAAATGAGCATTTTTTTAACAGAACAATCAAACTGATATTTTTATTAGAACAAAATCCAAACCAACCTGAGTCAAGTTCATCATCGCTGATGGAAATAGCATCGTCGTCTGCTCTGGATTTCCGAGATTCTGCAATCACAAAAGTCATTAATGTAAAAACTGCCTGATTTTTTCACATCCCAAAATAAGGATGTTAGACTGGTTTACATGAAGCTTGGTTATCCTAGGTACGGAGAAGCGATTTCCCGCTCGTCCAGTGGCGGTCTGCTCCACTTATAAGAAAACAGTACTATAAAATTACCTAAGACAAAGGAGAGAAGACTCAGCACTCCACTTCCGCACCTAGGAAAAACCAGCTTTAGATCCATATATGTCAAATCACAGCGTTTTGGCAACTTGCAATAATTGTAAAAAACACTACTTACTTAGTAAATCAAAAGTAAAGAGAGACTATTAAAAACTAAACTATCAAAATATATTACTACGTTTTAAAATATGAAATAACAAAAACTAATAAAAAAGTGTAGACAGTATTTTAAGGATAAAATATAACAAGCAAAATTACCTTTTTCAGCTTCATCCATTGTACGTCGCCTTAACCGTAATCTGAAAAATGCACTTGTATTTAATTCTTGGATAATTCATTAGGTATTACAAAACTAAAACAGAAGAAAACCTTAAACTTTTTGTAAGGAGTAACATTACCTCCATGACAAAAATTACACGTAGCTTTGATATTTTCTGTTAACTGTGATTTAACTATTGATGTTCAAAGACTAAATTACTTGATATCTGCCGTCTGTCTCCTGGGCTGCTCTATGAATGCGTCCGCCGAGTCCTCGCTGTGTTCATACTCTATGTCCATGGTGTCCTTCTGTGATACTGCAACATGAGAACAAATTGTTAAAAAAATCTTCTAGTCAGAATTGACTTTATGTTTACAGATCAGACAAGCCATCTATATACATCTGTAATAATGGACCAAATAAGTTGTATGCTATAACTTTAACCCTTCCCGGACGGGTGACGGATATATCCGCCTAAGTCTTTGGCGATAAAGGACGGGTGTCGGATATATCCGCTTATGGTTTTTGATGTTCTGGACGGGAAGCGGATATATCCGCCTTCTCTTCAGACAGACTGGCAGGTGCTTGAGCAGTAAGCAGATGTTTCGCGGTACCAAGGCACCACTTTCCTGCTCTCTCCATGGCTGCGCTCTCTCCCGCACTACTCCCTCTCTCACGCGCCTACCCCGCGTGATCAATCTGTAGGAGCTAGAGATGTGCGAGCAGATCTATTGTTGAACCAAGCGTAAAAGCCAGTTCCAGGCTCAAGCTGTGCTTTTACTACCACGGGTTAAAAATTCACGCATTTGGGTGTGAGATAACATTTCTGCGACCGCATCAGACAAGGATGGTGTTTCCGTGACCGCAGTAAATAATCAGGAGATGATGTCCCCACAGCTGTGTGATATGTTAGGATGTTGTGGGGAATGTGATGAAAGACAATGATTATGTTTCTGTGACAGTAGTAGATAATCAAGATTTTCTACGAACACGGGAGATATTACCTCATGGGATCTTCAGAATGTTGCCATAATTGCAAACGACGATGTTGATGTTTTCAAAAAGCTTGATTCAATCGTAAATTTCAGGCTCGCATACCTTAGTTTTGTACTTACTGTTATCATCTTCAAAGTCGGATGGTTCCTTAGCCTCCGACTCGTATCCTTCCTTGAGGTTTTCTACAGATTCAATGTAGTCCAGTTCAGCAAGGTACTCGTCACCATATGTCTTGCCTCCCTTCAAACAAAATCATAAATCAAATCAGCCGGATAATAAAATAGTTATGTTGATTAATTAGTGTGATTATTTTATTCAGGATTTTCAGTTTTTTTGAACAGTTGTGTAAAAAAAAAATTAAAAATAATAAATTTTGATTTGTGGAACTGAAAAACTACAGCTTCTATTATTATTTTACCACATAAATTTAAAATCAGTAACAATTAGAAATATGGCATATAATATGATAGAAATATGAATGCATGTTTCTCTAAGCAGGACCAATTTTCAAAAGCCTACCAATCAAAGAGAGCTGAGTCTGGTTTAGAACCATAAAAAAGTGATGAAAATCAGCCTGGGAACTTTCTGATTACCAGAAGTACCATATCCACCCTAAAAAAATTGAATCTGAATTGACCCATAAAGGTCAGGTTTCTAGTTAATACCTCATTGGCCTCTTGTTCTGTGAGTAGAAAGCCGGCGTAGATGCAGATAAAGGCACCGCGGGGAATGTCGTGGAGACATCGGATGCCCCAGCCTTTCTTGAGCGTCTTGAACAGTTGTAGTCTGCACGACAACGGCTGTTGTGCCACCCGGTTCTGACATGTGCTTTTGCACTTGCATCTGAACACAACAGCTACTGAGTTTTGTTGCACATACATGTGAAATTGGAAGGTAAACTATATGCAAACGCAAAGTGATTTGACTTGAAAATGTGTTATCGAAAGAGTGAAAGAACTGAAGACTGATGAAAAAACTACAGATATAATCGAAATTGCTTACTTAAACCAATAAAAATTACTCCTTCATATGGTGATATAAAAAACTGACACCAAAAAATTACTACTTTAAACAATATTTACTTCTTTACATAGTTTTTTAAGACAGGAGACACAAGAGATATTCCATAGGATGAATAGTAGATATGTCAAGTATGTAAGAAGTTGTCATCGTTCACTATTAACATATTTACAAAAGTTTAGAGCATTTTTACTTAGGCCTGAATTGTACGATCAACATCAAATTATTTTTTTAAAGCAGCACATTCGTGCTTATCACTAACCTAGAGTTGCACTCGTAGATACCAGTAGCTATCCTCTCGGGAAGACGTCTATATTGGTAACCGAACAGAGGGTCCAAGTCCCCGTCTGGCTGGTAAGCTTTACCCTGCAGCGTCAACTTCCAGCAGCTGCACTTGGTACGATCCTACAACAAGAGTAAGGTAACCTGCAAGCCACAAAAATAAAATTCAAGGACGATTCTAGGTTTTCCAGGTTCCAAATTCAAAATCGCAAGGTCAAAAACATACCGTAAACTTTACATTTGTAACATTTTGGATTCACTTTGATAAAAGAGAAGAAATGGAATTAACTGTTGCACATTATATCATGGTCAAATTTACAATTTGCTAGGAAAATCTATTTTATTTGAATCAATTTTAAAAATAGTAGTTGATTTTCAAACTGCTTTACATTAAAAGTAAAACTGCAGCAATGTAGTTATCATCTCTGCAACATCCACGATTGAAGCAGTAATAATCTACTGCGACCAATATCATGAACATTTCCCACAGCCACGACAACAACTATGAGTATCTCTTCTCTTGTAGCCCTGGCAACATTGTGTTTTTCTCCCTCAATTGTGATTTTCTTACTAAGTTAAAAGATAACTACCTATTCCTTGTCATCGAAATTCATCACGATTCAGGATTTCGTGATACCCTGGACACCCTGATAATCTTCAGAACAATCTTTGTATTTTTTTCTGTATACACTACTCCCCAGTAAGAGGTACTTTAAAATACAAAATATCCTGATCAAATTATGAGGGGGTTTCCGAGGTAAAATCAAAGACAGATTTTGTCTCAGAGACGTATATTTTTCTTTCTTGTTAGGTGGACATCTGGACAGCATGCTCCAGTATAAGCTTGACTCCAAACCACTATTCACTGTTTATCTTACCTCACAATTGTCCGTACAGTCACAACCGACCAGGAACTCTGGGTCCAGGTTGAGATTGACGTCCTTAGCAGGCTCCCTGGCAGTCAGGTACTGTACATACTGAGGCATGCTGTGGTCCAGCTCATTGACACAGGAGATGCGGACATTCTCCTTCCCATACGACAAGTCCTGAACACACCACATTAACACTAAAAATAATTATCTTTTATCTTCTCAATATCTGGGAATTTTAGGATATTTCAAATTTGAATTACCGATTACAACAAAAGATAATTGATAAAATAATGAATTTAGTTGTAACATGTAAAAAACTATAGTTTCATATGTGGTGGTGTATCACAATTATGTTAATTCTGTGTGACGAATTAACATTTCATTTAATTTCATGCACTATGAAGCCTTAACAGTGTAGGTTTGAGCTGGATGACAAACTCATTTTCAGATTACATTCTACAACAAATCTGTCATTTGATCACCTGTGTATCCTAACAATTATCTAGTCTTGGCTCCACTAAATCTCTAACTATTGTAATCTCCAACCTCAATCTTTCCAAAGGTGTTTCCCTCTTCAAACTCGGCTAGAGGATTGACCCAGAAGTCGAAGTCGAAAAGATCAATGGTCAGGTTGCTCTTTGAACGAGTCAGGTAGGTCAACATCTCCTGAGAACTACGCAGCATGCGACCACACGGTGCCCGATAATGCACAGCAGACTTGCCTTTGAAATTGGCAATCAGCCTGTGAACACATAACAATAGAAATAGAACTAGTTGATTTACCCCTGCTTTTTAGGATATGGACCTAGAATTTTAAACAGTCTTTCATAGCCGCTACAAAAATCAGCTGAGATAGTTTTTTTTCTTTGAAATTTAAGGATTTTTATAATCACAAAATCACCATGTAACAAACAAATTTACCATTTAGTGTTACTAATTATTTAAATCAGCTGAGGGACACATTAAAATAGAAAATAACTACCAATTTTGCAGTTATGAAAACATTGTGATCTTCATTTACAATAATTCTTACTACATGGCAAAAAGGCAAGAGAGCTTACGGAAAGCAGTTATTACATGCTTAGTAATTGTTGATAATTTCCTGGCCCTGTACAAAATTCAAAGTAGTCAAATTTTATCCACAGTTCCCGATTCTTTTGGTTATGCGGTCAGCTTGACACCCTGTTATATTTTTCTCGGTCAAATGTTTGTATGACTAAATTTACTAATGGGCTTAAGTAGTAATTGAAAATAAAAAAATTAAAATATTACCTTTCAAAACCGAATATAAGAGGTTTGACGAGGGGGTCGTACTTCTTGGCGGCTGTCGGAGAATATCCGGTCCACTTGATACAAGCTTCATTACACTTGTGTGGCCGGAACTGCAGAGGGCGACATCTGGGCCTCAACTTGCGTTGCTACACAAAACATTGCAAAACTCAACCCACAACTCAAAAGTAATCTCACCCTAATATTGAAACAGCTTTTAGAACCCTTACTGTAACCTTATTTAACCACCCCACATGTAAATATTAATTTTTACTTTCTGGCATTCCTATTCGCTATTGCGACGTTTTTTAATTAAATCGCTGATAAATTCAAGTCCAAAGAGTCCCGCTAAACTCACCCTGACTCTGCCCTCAGGTAGGTAACTGATGAGAGGTTTGCAGTACGTGTTGTTTGATATCACAGGTGTGGGAGAGGCTGGCTTCTTGGCTGTACTCTTCCTGGCTACAGACCTCGGGGCTGGGGCCGGTTGTTCTACTGCTAAAACAGAACAACATTGAATCTCAACTATAGACACTGCCACTAGCCATTCCATTTGTATAACTTAATTGCTGCCAGTTAGACATCAATATTGTTCTTATGGTACCAAAGTTGTCAACATTGCCAAACTTAATGGGTGACTAACATGAAACACTAATATGAGCTACATAATACTAACTCTTTATACAAACTACTAGTCTTTTAAGCCAACTAATATTGAAGACTAAAAGTGATAAATATATCTTCAAAAGATGCAAAATTAGTAAAGAATTAATTATATTCAAATTAATTGTTAAAACATTAGAATATTTCACAGTCACAAACAGCATTTTTATCTAAGAGAAATTTTGCTTCAGGTCTCGGAGACGATGGTATTGTCTAATGTTTTGTGTTTTATTATGCCAGTTTGGACTCTTTCCCATTCAGGCAAGCCTGATATACTCACTAAAAATCCTAAAAACCTAGGTCCTTGAGCTCTATGTTACATCCTTAAACTCAGATCATACTTTAGGTTATTATTAGTTTTTAACGCCTGATAATACTTGAACAATAACTTATAACTAAAATCTTTCTCCTAAAAAATTATTAAATAGCATTGGAAAACATGAATACAAATTTCTCTATTCATTGGAATAGAAATGAAATATATCCTCTGATAATTTTAAAAAGCGTCAAATACTTGCCTGTTTCTTCAGTCTTTTCCTTCTCTTCTGACTTATTCTCATTGTCACCTTCCCCATCCCCTCGAGTATATTCAACATACGGCATATCACTCTGAAACAATCCCATATTTTCATGTATAACGTCTAACATGCATACTTATCAAAGTGGTTAGACACAGTGAACTGAACAAGTTGTAGCTTGTTATGATGATAGCATTGTTGGTGGCCCTCAACTCTTCCCTTACATGTAAATCTAGTCTTTATAGATGCCCGAACACTCCACTCCACTTTGGATTAACCATAATTTAATTAACCAGGACATGTTCCAGGGAAAAAATAGAACAATTAAATTCAGACGGAGACTGTGCTAATTCCCAACACAAGTCTATGTTTTTATATCAGCTGTAGGTCAATGTTTTTGAAACTGCAGGGTCTTTTTCTCGAAAGGAAGCGCAGTAGGATAGAAACAATTGATAAATCATTCTGGGCTAACTCAAGGTCATAGACCCTCCCCTCTTTTATCTCCGATAAAATGCTCTAATTGCAGACAAAATTTGGTACAACAAAACATAAAGTAGAATAAAAAAAAGATGTTTTACTGTTTGAACTCTGAAAACTGTAACAGATTATTTTCAAAGAAAGTAATTCATGGTAGTGTATGTCTTGTGAATATTTTATTTGATCTTTGACAGAACACATTCTATGTATTTACATGTGTCATTTTGTTCAAATATTCATAGTGATTTCTGTCAAATACATCAGTCAGGTATTTTTTAAATGCAATATAATTATGTTGATTACCATCGTTCAATACGGTTTTGTATTTGAATACCCTTCATGTTTAGTATTACCGGGAAGCTTTAACCTTACTTTATCTCGGATTATCAAGAGTTGAGTGTACTGCCTAATACATTGTATAGTCATTGTATTGGCTGATACAATCCATAAAAAGTGCCCTCTGATGTTTCCTGTGTTGATGTACTTACAACACATTTCCAGAAACTAGAAACGTTAACAAATATCAAGGTATAGGACAAGGAGGATTTTTTACATCATCTCAAATAACATTAAACATCACCACTTTACCCACAAATGTACTGTTGGCTAACCTTATGATGAGATCCGCCACCAAAGCCCCTGGACCTGAGCAGAGTACCATGTTGACCATGTTGACGTTCCTTGGCGGCCGCCAGTTCCTGGTACATGGGTCCTAGCCTGGTAGACCCACGGTAGATCCACTCTGTACGTCTGTCCGCATCAAAGTGGACTTTGACTAGCGACCCGTCCACCTCTAGAACCCTCACAATCCACCAGCGACCTACAAATGAAATACAGGACTGATTTGCACTATTCAAGTATTTGGCAGTTACTGTAAATAAAATGAAATTTCTTATTCATTGAGGCAAATTTAGGAACTTATGGTCCTTTCTTACAGTTACCCTAAAAAAAAACTAAAAAAAAATATAAAATTAACACGTAACTTAACAACAAAGTAAAGTACAAGTTAAGTTAAGTTAAGTTAAGTACAAGTAACTTAGTATGAATTTCTTTTTCTTCCCTAACGTAGAGTCAAGACACACCCTCTGCTGCACCCAGGCCTGATACAGGTCAATCAGCCAAGCCACAGGAATACGGTTAAGGTAATATTCCTTCAGCGCCACCATCAGTCGGGATCGGTTTTCTATAAATTTAATGGGATAAAATTTACATTTTTCTTTTAATACATTTTAACTGAAATGGCTACCATACTAAGGTAGGTATTTTCAGCCAAGTATGAGTGGAGATGAGTGGCGAGATCTTGTAGTCTTGTTACTGACTAAGGCCTACATGTTCCTTATACAGGTTAAAAATATGAGACTTTAGACAATATTGAGGCTTAAACAATCTTTTAGGACGTGGTTGAATAATTTTTTCAATAAAACAAACCACATACCATTCCACTCGACTTTGACAATCTGTCCCTGAGACAGCTTGACCATAGGTCTCTCCGGATACTGTTGTAAGTAGTTACGGATAAACTCTCTCGGCTCCGGGTGGATGTCCTCCCAGACGTTCTTACTTGTGGCACACACTACCAGGATGTTCTCATGTGGACAGTACTGAGTGTAGCCGTCATCAAAGAACACCAGGTATCTGGAAAAGAATTTAAATAAGTGAAAAGGGAAGAATTTACATACTCTTGCTTACTCAACAGAGTATGCACACTTTTTCAAAAGCATTGTATGCAAATATGGAATCTTTCCTCTACATCCATATGGCGACTAAATGGCATTCAATGGGAAGCTGAGTGATCCTAGACCAGAGTTTCTCCCTCCACCAGTCGCTGAGTAATGTACGATTCAAAAGTGTCAGTTTCCTGTGAATCACCGTTTACATCGGTTATTTATTCATAGTTAACTTAAATAACCAAATTAGTACCTTGCTAAGTGTTATTAATTAAACTGATTAATTTTTTATCTATTTATTTATAGTCTGCAAACCATGTTTAAACATATGGAATGTTAATTGTGATCCATGTTATAGACCTAATCATAGTAATGAGTTTTTTTTTTATGTACATGATTATAACCAAATCTATTGTAATGCATAATAATGATTAAGAATTGATTTGATTTGAATGTGTGGAATTAAATTAGACATGGCTTTTAGTTTTGTTGTTATGAACAGCTTCATCTTGAAGATGTTACACAAATAAAAGAAAAAGGGTGTAGCATAGAGCACAAGGGCCTAGATTTTTTAGGATTTTTTTAGAGGATAGCAGGCTTACCTGAATGGGAAAGAGTCCAAACTGGCACAGGAAACACAAAACATAACTTTACACTATATACACAAAACATTAGAATATTTCACTGTCACTGACAGCATTTTCAACTAAGGAAGAGAGAGTTTTTTAGATGTCCAAAATGGTGACCAGTGAGTTGTTGAGTCAGTGTTGCCAATAGTAGAATTCAAAAAACACATTTTCAGTTTATCTTATATGCACTATATATATATATATATATGAATAAATATGTAAGCCTGCTAGTTGGGTTGGATTTTGAAGTGGAGTGGGTTAGATGAAAGGTATTATCTAAGGTTTAGGTTTGGGGGTTGTCTAGACTTAGTAAACCATTGGTAAGACAGTTCCCATCTTCTAAGTTGTGACTGGTTACATTGAGGAGGCAGTGATTTGACTATTTTGGTTGTAAAGCAGTCATTGAAACTAGGGTTGTTGTGGCTCTGGGCATGTTGTACAACTGGTTTGTCTTTGTATCCAGTAGATACATCTTGTCTATGGCCATTCATCCTGGTTCTGAGGCTATTGGTGGATAGGCCTACATACTGTGCCTCACATTTGTTACATTGTAGTTGGTAGATAATGTTCTTCGTTTCACAAGTGTTGAAGCCTCGGATGTTGTAGTTTTCTTTGGTTGTGGAACTGGAAAATGTTTGGCTGGGTTGATTTATTTCACATGTTTTACATCTCTTGTTATCACAGGGATATGAACCGTTAGGGCATGCGTTGTTTGGGTTGTTGTTGGCTGGGTCAGGAACTTTTGGGTGGACTAGTATTTTTCGGAGATTGGGTGGTTGTCTAAAAACAATGTTTGGTGGATCTTTCAAAAAATTGATGGTGTGGTTGGAGGCCTTGAGGATTTTGAAGCCCTCTTTTAAAATGCCATTCAATGAATGTAGTCCTTGGTGGTAGTCCGTGACAAGAGCAATGTTTTTGCTATTTCGTTTTTCATTATTTGGTTGTGGATGGTCTTGCGCTAAGCGGATTTGGTTCTCCACCAGCTTTCTAGGGTAACCCGTTTTTATGAATGCGTCAGATATTTTGTTATTGAACTTGTTTAATTCATCATCGTTGCTGCAGATCCTTTTGCCCCTGATGGCTTGACTGAACGGGATGGATCTTTTGGTGTTCTTTGGGTGGTTGCTGTTAAAATGTAAATACTGTAGATGGTTGGTAGGCTTGAAGTGTACACCGGTTTGTATGAGTCCATCTTGAATATTTATTTCTAGGTCCAGGAAAACTATTGTTGATGTTGAGATGTTGCTGGTGAATTTAAGGGAGCTGAAACTGTTAAGGCTGTCAATAAACTGTTTTAAGGAGTCTGAGCCTGAGGTCCACAAGATAAAAATATCGTCTATAAACCGGAACCAACACAAAGGTTGTACTTTTTGTGATTGTAGGAAACACTTTTCGAGTTTCCCCATGAACAGATTTGCGTAGGATGGGGCCATCCTCGTAGCTATGGTTGTCAGCCGTTTTAAGAAGTGGTTGGTGTCTTTAACATGTGAAAAGCCCTCAACTTCTTTCCTACTGAACATGGCTAAGTTCATTCTAGAAAAAAACAATTTTCAATTTGAAGGTAGAAACTATTTACAAACTAAAGGCACTGCCATGGGTACGAGGATGGTCCCATCCTACGCAAATCTGTTCATGGGGAAACTCGAAAACTGTTTCCTACAATCACAAAAAGTACAACCTTTGTGTTGGTTCCGGTTTATAGACGATATTTTTATCTTTTGGACCTCAGGCTCAGACTCCTTAAAACAGTTTATTGACAGCCTTAACAGTTTCAGCTCCCTTAAATTCACCAGCAACATCTCAACATCAACAATAGTTTTCCTGGACCTAGAAATAAATATTCAAGATGGACTCATACAAACCGGTGTACACTTCAAGCCTACCAACCATCTACAGTATTTACATTTTAACAGCAACCACCCAAAGAACACCAAAAGATCCATCCCGTTCAGTCAAGCCATCAGGGGCAAAAGGATCTGCAGCAACGATGATGAATTAAACAAGTTCAATAACAAAATATCTGACGCATTCATAAAAACGGGTTACCCTAGAAAGCTGGTGGAGAACCAAATCCGCTTAGCGCAAGACCATCCACAACCAAATAATGAAAAACGAAATAGCAAAAACATTGCTCTTGTCACGGACTACCACCAAGGACTACATTCATTGAATGGCATTTTAAAAGAGGGCTTCAAAATCCTCAAGGCCTCCAACCACACCATCAATTTTTTGAAAGATCCACCAAACATTGTTTTTAGACAACCACCCAATCTCCGAAAAATACTAGTCCACCCAAAAGTTCCTGACCCAGCCAACAACAACCCAAACAACGCATGCCCTAACGGTTCATATCCCTGTGATAACAAGAGATGTAAAACATGTGAAATAAATCAACCCAGCCAAACATTTTCCAGTTCCACAACCAAAGAAAACTACAACATCCGAGGCTTCAACACTTGTGAAACGAAGAACATTATCTACCAACTACAATGTAACAAATGTGAGGCACAGTATGTAGGCCTATCCACCAATAGCCTCAGAACCAGGATGAATGGCCATAGACAAGATGTATCTACTGGATACAAAGACAAACCAGTTGTACAACATGCCCAGAGCCACAACAACACTAGTTTCAATGACTGCTTTACAACCAAAATAGTCAAATCACTGCCTCCTCAATGTAACCAGTCACAACTTAGAAGATGGGAACTGTCTTACCAATGGTTTACTAAGTCTAGACAACCCCCAAACCTAAACCTTAGATAATACCTTTCATCTAACCCACTCCACTTCAAAATCCAACCCAACTAGCAGGCTTACATATTTATTCATATATATATATATATAGTGCATATAAGATAAACTGAAAATGTGTTTTTTGAATTCTACTATTGGCAACACTGACTCAACAACTCACTGGTCACCATTTTGGACATCTAAAAAACTCTCTCTTCCTTAGTTGAAAATGCTGTCAGTGACAGTGAAATATTCTAATGTTTTGTGTATATAGTGTAAAGTTATGTTTTGTGTTTCCTGTGCCAGTTTGGACTCTTTCCCATTTAGGTAAGCCTGCTATCCTCTCAAAAAATCCTAAAAAATAAAATAAAAACATGGGACTGGCTATGCCATCTTCTGGAAAGGGAAGGATACACACAGCTGGAAGCGGAAAAAAGGTTCCAATAGGCAACCTGAATATGTTTCTTAGGTAGGACTGTAATGTAACCATTTACAGAAGGACTGTCCAGTTAGTAGTAGGAAACAAGTGATCTTGATAATTTAAAAAATACAAATACAATACGTTTTACTTTAATTTTACTACTTTGCTTCTTGAAGGTGCTGAACATAACATTAACTGTGTTAAACCCCTACTACTGACTACTTGCAACACTTTACTTGTAAAAGTCAGTTGTGTAAACCATTCCTTTTTGCTAGTATTCCTAAAAACCAAACCACAACATTAATCATTCCAAGGCCTCTGTTGAAAGACATGATATGTAAATAATTGTCGTTGAACTCAACATAAATTCATTTTGAGATAAAAAACATAAGTTAAAAGCAATTAAACCAGAGAAACAAACACTTAAAAAGAAAAAGTGAACTTATGTAAGCAGGTTGAATTAACTGACCTATACTTGTTCATGCTTTTGGGAGGTTCGGCGATGACACCAACGTAGTAGTTGTCTTTGGTGACTGAGTCTTCTTCCTCTTTGAATATAGCGATGACTCGCACACCCACTCTGAGCTGTACTCGCGCAGGGGTCGGATACGCCAAGTACTTGCCCGTCACTGTACGCACTGAATTCTTCTTCACATTCTCTATTCTTACGCGGTAGGTCTCTGTTGATGGATCGTTCTGAAGGAAAATTAAGTTTTGCAATATGTTTGCCGAATGTGGATTTTATTATTTTAATTAGGGGAGTATCATTATTCATTAACAAACCTGTCTTAAAAGTTCAGATAGATTTTTTTTTTTAGAAAACTTTCATCATGGTATGAGAATTAGCTTTTTTAAATGGTTTTATTAATTTTCATATTTTTTAACAAAGACTGTTACATTAATTAATTCCAGTTATTGAGTGAAAATTGATTAAATAAGATTTGTAATTTAATCAAAGTACAAAATTTTAATCAATAACACTTATTTTCTCTTATTGGACATACTTTACAATGCAAGTGGTTGTATGGCATTGTGTAAGTAGTTGCTGGCACTTCTCTTCTATTTAGCTACAACTGCAACCGTTTTCCTGTGATACCGCATCCGCATCCAGCGGTTGTTGGTTCAGAATGGTAAACATAAGGAAAAAGGAATAAAAATGTTTGAATTCCAAAAATTTCAAGACTTATGAAGTTTGTATCATGTATTTTGTCAGTTATTACTGTGATTATGATAAAACAAACACATTTCTCATCGTTGACAAAAATCATTCATTGTACAATAACAATAAACATTCATTTAAACCAATATGTTTTAGAGCCATTGTAACATTATTTATAAAGAATTTCCTCACCTCAGTTGGGTTCCTGGGGATGACCTCTAGTATGCGACAGTGAACCCAGATGCTGAAGTAGCTGACCTTCATGGTGTAGGCCAAGTCACCGACCCGCAGTTTGGGTCTCACTAGAGGACCCGGGCTAGGTAGGTTGGATGGCGGCTCACACTTCGCCTCCGACCTCACATAAGTTACATCTTGCGCTGTCTGCAAGAGGCAATAAAAGTTAAATGAAAATCATCATTATGAGTTTAGTGAAAAGTAAAAGATAGTTAAATCTCATAATTAGGAATTTTCAGTATGTTACTTCATTTCAATGACTTTAAAATTTAATTACAGTAGGACCCCTTGTAACCGGCCACCACCAGACAGAGCCCCTGGACTGATAACGATTTAAAACAACCAGTTATAAAAAAGATAGTTCAAAGGTAATGACTGCGCCTTGTATAGTCCTCGCCACCCTAACTTGAGGCAGCCCAAGGCCGCACGCCGTATATCTATTGCGGCCTTGGGCTGCCTCAAGTTAGGGAGGCGAGGACTATAGCAGTGAGGGCAGACTCCCAGGGTAGCAGACCTCATGAGTCCTTCCACTGATGTTCCTGATGTGACGTCCTCCAAAGAAGTAGTCCTCAAAACGGAGTCCGTCTAATCTCGACTAACACACCTCTTGGTCATCTGCCAGGCTTCAAATGACTTTTCTTGAAACACTTGGGGCAGAATCGCAGCGTAGCAGTCTTCAGTAACGCGGTTGTATCCAACGCTTAGATAAATGTTCCTTGATGTGACCTCTTCCAATGTAGCTTTTCTAATCCAAGTCCGTCGAATCACAATCCACTGACAACTCCAGGCTCCAACGGACATGCGTGTTATATGTTATCTACTAAAAGGAGGATGGGGTGGGGCGACAATGAACTGAATTTGTATTGTTTCATTCCTCTTTCAGATACCCTACACTCTCAAGAAAAATTACCAGAATTGTTACAATTCCACCAAGTACTTCCGTTTAGCGAATTTCCCTTATAGAGAATAGGCTACCGTGGGTCTCTTGGTAAGACCTAGACCCTAGACCCGAGACCAATTTACTTTTTTTGTTTTGAGGTTACCAGAGGCCAAAAACACCCACCGTTCAAATCCATATATATCTACATTTATTTGAACGAGTTTGCGAACCAGCATAGTATCCTGTTTGCTAGGGTAAAGAATTTTTAAATGTAATTAATGTCATTTTAGCTTAGTAAGAAATAAATTCATTTTCCAGATTTGATTAAAATACGTTCATAAACAAGCAAACTACAACAGTTTTATTTATTCTCCATAAGAATAACATGGGAATTTTAAGTTAACAATTTTTGAAATTTTCTTTGTACACCATCAGGCGCATAAATAACTTACTAAATTATTTGTTTTTTTAAACTCTACAAAATGATTTGAAAATAAAATAAAATAATAAATATATATATTTTTTTTGGGGTAAAAAATGAGAAATCCCTATTTTTAACTCATAAAAGCCCCCATAAGCCCCCGTTCCCGTAGTCCAATCTATGCTGGTTTGCGAACTCGTTTAAATAAATATAGATTAACACATTTTTACAATATTTCATCAATATCAGATCAGTTTTGCTTATCGTGCTACTGGACAAATATAAAAATTTGAACGGATGGTGTTTTTGGCCTCTAAACAAAAAAGACAACTAATTGTTCCCAGGTCCAGGCATAACTATGAGTACCTACTACATAGTTATTCCCTATATGGGAAATTCGCTAGAAAACTGTCCAATTACATAGAGAGAAGGCAGCAAACGCAGTAGTACTATTCTTTCACTATCAAGTATCCGGTACAATAAATGCCGGTGCAGTGGTTGAAAAAAATGTATGGCAGACTTGGGGAAGAAATTAAGCGTTGTGCTCAAACTTGCCCTGGATAGATCACGATTCTGCCAAGCTCTAGTATTATGAGCTGGTATTATGGCGTAGATGTGGCTTCTGGTATTGAGAAGTGGAACGATTTAATCAGGCAGGAGTAGACATTGCGGCTGCAAATGGTTAGATTCCAAGTCTCCTGAAAATCGGTTTGGAGGTTTCTCTATAAGAGCTACTTGAGATGATACAGATTGCCGCTTTTTGAAGCTCTAATACTTCTTTCTGTACGCAATGTGCGAGTGGAACAGGGCATGGAATACCATCAGCAGGTACTGCCCAGTATCACATTTCCAGAGGCACATGTTCACTCGAGCAAGCTGTACAAAATGGACATTACAGCGTGGTCGTTCCAGCCTAGTTGGCTGTCCGGCAAAAGCAAGGAAGAAAGTTAGCTTCAAAATACTTTTAAAATTCCTGCCAAGAACCTGAAGAAGTTCTGGGAGATCTTGACTGTAAGCTTGAATTTTGTATCCCACAGCTTCTCAATCCTCTCCATAAACAATACTAAATCTTTATCCCCATATTAAGTTAGATTGTATTTCCTTACACTGCTGCATGTTGAAACGTTATCCTTGATACTCACGTCTAAAGCACTACTTCCTGGTTGGTTGCTTAGTGGTGCTTAGATTTTTCCTTTGTTGTGCTGATTCTCACTTTCAAATACAAATTTTGTTCCATTCACTTTATAATGAGTTGTCACTAAGTGAATTTTGTCTCCCACAGCTTCTCAATCTTCTCCATAAACAATACTAAGTCTTTATCTCCATCGTAAGTTAGATTGTATTTTCTTACACTGTTGCATATTGAAACGCTATCCTTGATACTCACGTCTAAAGCACTACTTCCTGGTTGGTTGCTTAGTGGTGCTGGAAGAAGGTTCATAGTAGTGCGCCTTACGAAGGCTGCAAGTGTTTTCCTCCCGTCTCTCACGTTGCCGCTGATAGGAAGGCCTAATTTCTTCAGTTCTTCTAAAAGTTCCTCCTTCCTTAAGTTGTAGATCCATCCACAGCTGGTGTTTTGTCTTGATTCCTCGGGGATGCTCTCTGTATCTGAGTCGGTCAGCATGTTGAGGAAATTGTTCTCCTGAGAATAACAATAGATTATGGTCGTAAGCAGCTTAACGACTGACACATAATACAAACTTGAAAGATTGTTCCTTTGTTGTGCTGAGTCTCACTTTTAAATGCAATTTTGTTTCCATTCACTTTATAATGAGCACTTATAGAGTCTCTGTTTGATCACCAAAATGATGCAAGGAAGTTCCCCTAGAGGAAGAAAAGTTTTTTCACACTTCTAATTTTCCTTACACAACATGAGTTTAGTCCTGGGTTAAACTACAACTAAGTTAACTGAATAAAAAAACCGTCCTTGTTGGAATCATTGAGCACATTTTCTATTCTCACTATTAACACAAGGTATCTTGTCTTGCAAGGTAATGTTTGTGCCTCAGCAATCCGGTAGTTTCAGGTGCTTCCACTGATGTCCCTGATGCGGCATCCTTCAAATAAATAGTCCTCAAAACAGATTCGCCGAGTCTCTACCCACTGACTTACCTCTTTGTCATCTTCTAGGTTCCATGTGCTTTGCCTTGAAACACGGGGGGTAGACTTTCAGGGTTGCAGACCTCAGTAACTTGTATCAGGTTCTTCTGCAGATGTCCCTCAGAGTCAACACGTCCATCCAGCCGGGGCGGACTCAACAAGCCCATGATCCTGGGAAAAAGGAAATGGTACCAGGGGCTTAACAAGCCTCCCTGTACCAGAGGGAAAGGTAAAGGAGTGAAGGGTGCTCAACACGCCTATGAAACTGGGGAAAGGAAGTAACCTGGGGGCTCAGCACGCCCGTCCAATAACGGAGGGAAAGGAACTGGTTACGTGGCTGAACACCAGTCTAGCACCAGGAGGAAGGGTAACTCCCGCTCAACTTGCCCATCTGGTGGATTAGACTGCTACCCTTTGAGTGTCCCCCTTTATAAGCATTCTCCCTCAATGAATGGGGGAAATTACCCTGTACCAGGCCATGGTCTTTCCCCTAGCACATAGACCTGAGAGAATCTTTCTGATAGAAAAGTCCTAGGGAAAATTTTTTAAGGAAAAAGGGAAATAATGTCCTGGGGGTAAAAATGTGTCCAATGCATTTACAAGAAAGCACATTTCTATCTGTAGCTAAATCACTTTATTGCAACTTGTCACCAAAACTTATTCATTTATTATCTGATGTAAATGAATCTGCAAAAACCATTCAACACAAATTTGAGCATAAAAAATAACAATGAATACTAATTCATGGGTACAATTAGGAGAAACGTGCGGCTATGTCAGATGATTACTTCTTGCTGGCCCTTTAAAGTTGTCCAAGTAAAAGTCTATCTCCTGACCTACTCATGTCTGTTGTACGACAGAAGTAAGTGCAAAGTTATAATTTATTGTGACTATGGTATAAATCACAGGTTTACAATGGATTATCACTTACATGATCTGACAGTGACGGCTGAGGTTGAGGAGTCCGAGACACCTTTTTGGTGGCAACAACTCTACTCGAACCTCCTGCTAACTGCTCATCCATCTCTTTGTTTTCTCTCTCTTGCCTTTCATCTCGTGATCTTCTGCAAGTTCAAGTAATTATTTATAAAATGACAAATACATTATTTTTCACTAGTTTATTCATTCTAACTTGGTAATTAGTTCGCTAAATTGAAGAAGTCTTGATGATTACAACAGTAAAAATATGTTTGTATACATTTCTGTAGTTAATTTTGTTCTTAAGTTATAGTGGACAAAGATTAAGGTATTATAACACCATTATTAAATCAATTTCAGAGACAAGAGAAATTTGCCAGGAAAGCTAACAAATTTGTCAAGTCTTATTAGATTTTTATTGCCAACCCACCTCATTCTGCTGAGTTCTTTGTTGTACATTTGGTTTTGTGATGTTGGCTTGCGAATTGGCAACGGTGGTATCTCACAGTCCACTATCTGCAACTCCTCCAGTTCCTGAAAAATATTCATTTACACCCACCATACCATCAATCTCTATTATAATTTAAATAACTTACGTTTTGGCAAACTAACTTAGGAATGTTCAGTATGTCAGAGAAGATTTGATTTAGTCACTTACAGAACAGATTTCTGTAAGTCATTCAACAATTTTATGTTAACTGACATGTCCATGTATAGAAAGTAGCTATTTTCAATAACAGCTGATGCCAGAGAAATTGGGTCGCCGGATTTCTACCCCCGGATATTTACCCCCATGAAAAAACGCCTACGTCATTTTGACGTCACGAGGGGCGGGGCTTATACATGGTCGAGAAACAGCCCGCGACTGGAAATCTACCCCCGGATATCTACCCCCAGACATCTACCCCCGGACATCTACCCCCAGACATCTACCCCCGGACATCTACCCCCGGAAATCTACCCCCAGTGGTCAGCTCTGCCACGTATCGGCCAATATTCATTGTTGTAATTGATTTTATTAATTATTTTATGTAAATCAAGATCTCTTCGGTCAATCATTACCCTCTAATATCTAGTATTAAGCATGTGATATGTCATTGCCTTGTTTAACATTATCTATCTTCCTAATAAAATAAGTTGTAACAGCCCTTTTTCACCTGAACTACTTCACTGATATTTATGATTAAGGTCTAATTTTAAATCTTAAGATCCAGCTCAACGCAAAATGGTATTTAAAACCTTATGTTGATAAAGGGCTTCAAAAGTGTGACCCTTAAGCATTTGATTCATTTCCAGACAGTGATTTAAATGGTTGACAAACTTTCACATACAGTATAACAGTTAACGGCGCATGCATGAGCGCGGATCGGAAGTGTTTATCACAAAAGATTGACCAATACGATTTTAATACTATTTAAAGGTTCTTCCAAAAGAAGAGAAACCGGTTAACATTGTAATAATAACTCTTATGACGTACGGTATGGGAAATATTTTATTCATTGAATGATCAACCATATTTTGTAACTAACGCAATAGTCATTATTGCTTTTACACTTATTACTCATAAAAAAAAGCTAAAGAGCTAAATGCTCAAAATTTGTATTACTTCAATCTATTTATCGCAGTTATATGAATTAGCATAAGCCTTGAAAGTAACCGTCAGTGTCGACGGGTTTAACCTAATTCTGTTCTGTATACTACCTTAAAATGCCTCATTTTAACATTTTACTGGCAGGAAACCTGCTTATTCACTTCCTATATGGTATTCTTATGAATTAATCTTTTGAACACTTATTTATGGACATAAGTTGACAAGTTTTGTTTTAAGGCAGGATTTTCCAATAAGACTTAATACATGCTCTGAATATGCAAATGTGCTGCAATGGGGGTATTTAGGCGTATATATATATTAAAAGATGTTAGGCTACGCTTAAATAATTGAATGTGGCCATTATTTTGAATTTGAATGATTGTCTTATTTTAGGTCTTTAAGAGAAAATACTTTAAAATCCTTTCTTAGTACGCATCTAAAATCTTAGAAACTAAATCTTTTTACTACTAGGTGATATGAAAAATTTACGATTATACACCTGACTTTTTATTGATCCTCTTTCTCAATTTAACAGTTTACAACTGAATTGTCTTATTTTAGGTATTTAAGGGAAAATACTTTAAATCCTTTCTTAGTACGCATCTAAAATCTTAGAAACTAAATCTTTTTACTACTAGGTGATATGAAAAATTTACGATTATACACCTGACTTTTTATTGATCCTCTTTCTCAATTTAACAGTTTACAACTGAATTGTCTTATTTTAGGTATTTAAGAGAAAATACTTTAAATCCTTTCTTAGTACGCATTTAAATCTTAGAAACTATTTTTTTTACTAGGTGATATGAAAAATTTACCATTATACACCTGACTTTTATTGATCCTCTTTAGTCCAGTCAAGGAATGAGGTGTAGAGTGCGTGAGCAGGTAACTAAGCGATTCCTTCAGAAACTTGTTCAGGGGGCTTAGGGTGTTAACATACCAAAAGTCCTGACTCCTAGGTGGTGAGCCAGGGGGTGGAGGGGGGGAAAAAGGGGGAAAAAGGTACGCATTTTGGGTTTTTTGATTATATCTCGAAAACTATCAACTTTTTGTATACTATAGTAAATTATAAAATTGAAGAAGATTAAATCTTCTACAAGAAAAGTATATAATGTGTTTATTTTGGTTCAACAGATTACGAGTTATAACTTATTTAATTGATATCTTATTAAAATACTCCTTCCATAAGAAATACATGTAAATTAGTATGCGAAATGGGGCGAATCCTATCCGCCCAAAGGAAATATAAATGATATTCTGGAAATCTTGACCAAATTTCCAGTAATTTGACACTTTAATCATTAAAATTGATCCAAAATTAAGGCGAGGGCGAGGTAACAAAATGTCGAGTTTTGGTGTTTTTTTATTGGAAATATAAAAAAAACCTTAAATCATCCCATTTTTAAACGCTCACCCTCGCTTTAATTTTTGACAAAATTTCATGATTTAAGTGTCAAATTACTGGAAATTTGGTAAAGATTTCCAGAATATCAGTTATATTTCCTTTGGGCGGATAGGATTCGCCCCATTTCGCATACTAATTTACATGTATTTCTTATGGAAGGAGTATTTAAATAAGATATCAATTAAATAAGTTATAACTCGTAATCTGTTGAACCAAAATAAACACATTATATACTTTTCTTGTAGAAAATTTAATCTTCTTCAATTTTATAATTTACTATAGTATACAAAAAGTTGATAGTTTTCGAGATATAATCAAAAAACCCAAAATGCGTACCTTTTTCCCCCCCTTTCCCCCCCTCCACCCCCTGGCTCACCACCTAGGAGTCAGGACTTTTGGTATGTTTACACCCTAAGCCCCCTGAACAAGTTTCTGAAGGAATCGCTTAGTTACCTGCTCACGCACTCTACACCTACTTTTGGATCATTCATTGACTGGACTACTTTCTCAATTTAACAGTTTACAACAGAGTTTTGGTTTACTAAACAATTATTCCTACTAGGCCTACATTGAATAAACCGGAAGTTCACCACAGTTTATTCACTTTATCCTTTAAGAAATGTGTGTAAAAACAATGGTTCAGTACGATGTAACACTTGACCATGTGAAAAGTGCGCAATATTATATTATTTTCATAACTTTTTCATCTCTTGTTTACAGTTGCAGACCATCATTCATGTTTTCACAACCTAACTTAAAAATTGATCTGATGAGTACTCCTCACATTTCCCTTTTAAACTGTTACTGTATAGAGTAAAAGTTGGTCAACCATTGGAAGCACCTTATAATAATAATATAATAATAATAAAATGCCTTTATTTAAAGCGGTCTTCAGATACACTGGTTTTCAAGACAACTCAAAGTCACAAAAAGTTTACAAGTACACAATAATTACAAACAGTGGAACTAAACTAGCTTTAAATTGGCCTTAAATGAATTACATGACATGATTTTCATGTTTCTTGGGAGGGTATTGTGGGAGGGTACACCTTCTAGGAATAAATCAAAGGCTTAGGGGTCAACCTTTTGAAGCTATAATCGAAATATCCTTTTAATTACCATTTTGTGCTGCGCTAGATCTTAAGCTTTTAAAAGACACCTCAATCGTAAAAATCAGTGAAGTAGGTCGGGTTGAAAAGGACTGTTACAACTTATTGAGTTATAAATATGGATAATGTTAAAACAGACATCGACATATCGCATGTTTACTACTGGATATAAGAAGGTAAAGCAATTTATAAAATCAATTATACAACACAATGAATATTGGCCGATACGCGGCAGAGCTGACCACGGGGGGTAGATTTCCGGGGGTAGATGTCCGGGGGTAGATTTCCAGTCGCGGGCTGTTTCTCGACCATGTATAAGCCCCGCCCCTCGTGACGTCAAAATGACGTAGGCGTTTTTTCATGGGGGTAAATATCCGGGGGTAGAAATCCGCTACCCCGAGAAATTGTTTCCCTTTGATTAAGAGCAAGTGAAAAACGATCAACTGATTTTCTCATACTCTAATTTACTTCCCCTTGCTGTTATCAGTTTTCCTTTAGCCCACTATGTGGGCTAGCGTTTGCCTACAATTTATTTCTATTATTGAAATCAGTTGTTTTTATCGTTCAACAATATAAATGTGAACATAAATTTGTATTAGCAGTAGTTTCGCTGTGTTTTACTCTGTAGTGTGTGATTGCTACACAGTGAACGCTGAACTTTAACTTCTAATTATCACGTTATTATGTAGGTTTGCTGTAATACTTTTGCATGTCTTTTTATATTAAAATAATGTTAATAAGGAAATGTAATAGTATGAATTTAATGAGTTATAATATTCTTTATGTGAGTATTTTATCGTTATGATAAAAAGTATTGTTTACAACTTGTACTGAAAGAAATTTTCCAGCACTTTCTCCAATTACTAACATCCTCGGCTTCACTTTGTATGTGAAAATAAAAAAAAAACTTTCACATGCTCAGCTATACCATGAAATTTGGTGTTCCTGTTGGTGTTCATAAAATGTGAATGTGTACCTGAAAAATTTGACTTTCGGTCCTAGTAATTAAGTATTATGCATCTGATTTTCAATCAATCGACAAAATAATTAAGGCAATTTGGCTAATTCGTCACAACTTGGTTCTATATTGTTTCAGTTTAATATGGGTCTACAGTATTTTCCTGATAAAAAATGGAAAACCAACAACTTTTTCATCCACAATAAAGGAAGCTAAAGTAAGTAAAGCAGTAAAGAACTGATGAATGCAACATGTAAACCTTAACTTTAATGAGGTGTTACACATACCGTTCTCTCTTGCTTGAACTCTTCATATATCTGATCACGGATCAAATTCAATGAGTCATGGATTGTTTCAAATTTTTTGGCAGTCTCTCGATTTTCCTCTAAAACAAAGGTGCAAATCCATTAATGTTTTATAGACTACGGAACGCTGATAAGAGTCTTTGTAAATAAGAGTAATAAATCTTCATCTACAACACTTTAATTTGTGATGAAGTAGAATGATGAAATTAAAAATCTTTAGTCAATATATAAACCCTACTTAAATTTATCCGTATGGCTTAGGCTACTAATAAGTTAATACTTAAAAATATTTTATTTATTTTTGCATTGTATTTGTAAATTAACTCAAATCAGGGCGACCATTTTTTGACCTCTTTTGTCAAGTCCTCAAATATTCTATGGTAAAATAAATAAAAATTAGAAGCAATCTAACAAAATAAATAGCTAATTTTTTTTTACATTAACATCACAAAAAAAGTAATCGTATACTATTTTTAACTCAAACGACCAACCGGTATGCTTACAACAAAGTTCTAATAGTTAAATTCAATAAATATTAGGTCTACTACTTCAGATATTGACTTTTGAAGTGAATGATTCTGATCTAACTGAGAAAGGATAAATTAAAGGTACACTACTCTTTTTTTATACAACAAATGGAAATATAACACAATAGCCTAATAGACTAAAATAGGTTTTAAAATACTCTCTCCTTTATGGATCTATCAGCCTTGTATAAATCGGCTGAAGACAATTTTCAGGTTACTTCCGTTTGGTTTATACTGGGTGTTTTGTTGTTTACTATTTGTTTGTAGTTATTTAACTTATTTCCAAACTGTTTAACAAAACACAGAAAAAAAACAAAGTTAGTGTACACACCCAGCCAAATCACAAAAGAATAATCACACAGAGAAGTGTATAAATAAAAGGCTTACAGTTTTACAATAGGCTTTCAGTTTTACAATAGGCTCTCAGTTTTACAATAGGCTCTCAGTTTTACAATAGACTTTCAGTTTACAATAGGCTTTCAGTTTACAATAGGCTTTCAGTTTTACAATATGCTTTCAATTTACAATAGGCTTTCAGTTGTTCAATAGGTTGAGAAGTCTACCATTTAAGTCTACATTTAATAGTCAATAGTTCTAATGGCAAACTCACTCTCTAGTTTGTCGAGTCTTTTGTTTATGATATTGCAGGATTCTCTCAGCTGGTAGTCAAAGTCATATTTGGCTAACGATTCAGAGATCAAGTCATCCAAGTTGTCTCTAATCACGGACATCGTCTCGTCCGACAGGTAACCCTCTGTGAACAGACGATTGTCAAATGTAAAAAATATTAAAATTGACAGAAACAAGAACTGGGATTGAATTACTCGATTACTTACAGAAAAAGCATACTTTCTTGGTTAAAATTATATTAATGGTTGACTGCACCATATAAAGTTACCTCTGAATTTCTTGACCTTTCAAAAGGGTGGCCTTAAATGCACCATAGTTATTTTTTTTCTTTCTAAAAAAGAGTTATGAAACAAAATTTAATGTTTCAGAAATAATCATTTTTTTATTTAAACATAATGATTTACACAGTAACATCGCCAGAAAATGTACTCATGCTATTAGTCTGTTCATAAACTAATTATAAAATAATCCTATGGTAAAATGGACAAGATAATAATTACCATTATCAGAAAGTTCTTCTTCATCTGAGTCTAGCGAAATTACATCTTTGTGGCTGGGGTAATCAGCTGACAATAACGGCTTTTGTTCCGCAAGGAAGGAAGTCAGTGTCTGAAATAATTTTTTTTTCTGATATATATGCAAAATAATAAAATAAACAACTATCAATCAACTAATATTTCAACAACCAAATAAAATATAAAATTAGATCATGTATTTTTTGGCATGGTTTGTAACAATTAGGGGTTGATTATTCTGAAGAATAGTCATTCAAATTTAAGAGGTTAAGGCATTTTAATTTACAAATACAACTTGAGTTGTTTATTTTTTTCTCATGCCCAATATTTTGAATTATAGCCTACTAAGCTTCATTAGTATCGTCATTACGGTTCCCTATAGATAGAGCCACAATTTATTTTACCGAGTTTCCCAAAATGTCTATCCCTTCAAATATCCCCAAATTGTGCTTGCATATATCTACATATTTTTTCCAAGATGGTTGCCTCTTTCAACCATGCATTTACCCAAAATAGCACTCCGGGGCCTTTGTATGGATTGTGTCTAGCAAAGCAAAGGGCGAGTTAATACAATACGAGAGTGAACTGCACTGATTGTGAACACTAAGATCTTTAGAAAAAAAGAGTTTAAAAAGTGTAGGTATTGATTTTTGTGAAAAATGAGATCTAAAAAATATTGTTAATATCTAGTTACTGTACCTTATCGTGTTCTATGACCTCTTCAAAACACTCAGCACAGACTTTCTGTCCCTTTGATCGTTTCAATCCAAAGTAAGACAGCACAATCGAAGCCGGAGGTGCCAGTTCTTCTCCAGACATGCAGTTGGGGTTCACGCAGTTAACAGCGGCAGGCGGCTTCTTTTTCACGTCATCATCATCGTCGACTAAACAAATCACTTCCGCATCATTTGAAGTGGCGCATTCTGAAGTTTCTTTGTTGTTCCTATCTTCAGTTATTAAATCCTCTTTGAATTTTTCATTATTGAGTAGAGCTGTTTTCAACATGTCTTCCAAGTCTGTTTCTTTACTAGCACATGTTTCATTGGAATCTTCATTTTTTGTATTTGTTAACACTTCATCACTTTCCATTGGGACATCTGATTCATCCTGTTTAGTTTCAATCTCATCCTTAGCGATGTCAGTTTCGGGTTTTGTTGTTTCTAAGCTTTCCCTTTTTTCAGTATCAGGATTCAATATAGAAGGCTCAATATCAGTATGTTCAACTGAACATTCAGTACTGTTGGGTTCAGGAGATGCCTCTTCTTTTTCGTAACTGTTATCTAAGTCTATGTCCATTTGGGTTGTTTCATTTTCTATCTCTTTTTCTGTGACGTCATCAGTCAGGTCTACGTCCATCTTAGTAGTTTCTTCTGGACGTTTAACAATAGAATCAGCACTAAGCTCATCTAAATCCATACCTTCATTTTTCAAACTATCTGAACTACAATGTGATTCTTTGGTGTCATCTTGTGCATCTTTTTCATCGGCATTATTCTCTTCATCTGATTTAACAGCTGCACTAGTTTCTTCCGTGTCTGGTATCGGTGGAGCAATATTTGATGAATCTACATCAGAATCAACTGTGGTGGTGCAATTTTCACTGTTGTTGGTGGATACATCACTGTCTTCATCAGAGCTTGGTACCATATTGTCCAACTTGAATTCCCCAACCATTTTAGTTTCATCTTTTGCATCTTTATACTTTAACACTGATATCTCTTCATCGTACAAATCTAACTCAACATTCTCAGTTGATTCTGGTGTGATTTGACTTTTAACTTTTTGAGTTTCTGACCGAGAAGCAGAGTTTGTCTGAATTTCTTTCAGCATAACAATATCATCGGAATCATCTGATTTATCATTAGCTTCAACCTTATTATCTGATGTGGGTGAACATTTTTCAAGCTCTGTTTCTTTACAAGTTTGACTTACTGAGTTTACTTCAGCCCGATTTTTAGAACATATTTCCTTTGAGTTTGTTGAAATCACCTTTTCATTTTTAGAACTTTTACCCCCAATTTCTTTTACTTTACAATCTGACTTGACAAAATGTGACATTTCCTTAGATAATGTTTCAATACCATTCAACTCAATAATATCATCTGCAGAATCAGTACTATTTTGTATTGTATTTTCAGTGTTTGAGATTTTATTTTCGACTAATACATCTTCTTTACTTTTGTTATTTAATGGTTTAATGGATTCCTCTTTTTCACAATCATTTATAACAGTCTCCTGATTAGTTTCTTCACTTACCTCGGAGGTTTTTTCCTCTTCCATTCCACTATTACTGTTACCTTCTTTACAAATTAGATCACGAGAGCCTGCAGAAATATCACACTTTTTTAAATCCTGTGAAGTATCATTAGGTTGACAACTAGAAATATTAGTAACCTCCCTGGTAGACACATCATTTTCACCTGACTTAATCTTAGACTTTTCTAAAGAGGCAGTTTCACACTTATCCTTGAAGATTGAAATATTACTACTTTTTTCTGCTGCAATACCGTCTAAACTGTCTTCTTTCAGCCCATCTTCTATGAGACCAATAGCACTTAAAACACCTTTCTTAGCATCAAGAAAGTCTTCATCATTCATACTATCTGCACTGTCAAATCCACTGGTGATGTTAAATGTTGCAGGAGAATCAGCAAGTGAATCAATTACTGTAACTGGAGTGGAACCGCTTGGTTTGTCTGTTGTGTTATCATTTGACAAATCTTGGGAAAGCCTTTCCATCTCATCATTATCAGTTGACGATTTGTTTAGCGAGTTTTCGGTGATTTGTGCAGTTACTCCTGCAGATTTCTCTTCACTGTTGCAGTCTGTCAACACATTTCTAGAATCCTCCTCTGTTTTTTCCATTTTCCTACAAAAAAGGAATAAATTAAAATGATTATCAAAGGAAGTGCGACTAAATGCTATACTTTTATATTACTCATTCTGTAGTCAATTTTGGAATCCTGGTTTCAATTTTTGGACGAGGCAAGAGTGAAGGAAACACTATTTCAGGCTCATCAACTCTTTGTGTTCCTTGGCAAATTAAACATCAGTTTTTAGTCAATCTTTTATTGTACAGTCTTACAGGTTATGGAACCTATTATTTTATCTGATAAATCAATAAAAAGCTATTACAGGCTAGTGACACTAAACCACTATAACCTCAACCAAATGACCGTAGCAAGGCAGGAGGGTGTGAGTTAAGCCTGGGTGTAAGGGGTGGTAAATAACAGTGTAAGTGCTTGGTGTCCTGTTTTTTTATTTTACAGTAGACTCTCGATTATCCGAGGTAATTGGCACTGGACCACCTCGGACACGGGAAAACTCGGATAATACAGAGGTTATATACAGTTATGGTAAAAATGATGTAAAACCCTGTGAAAGTTTACAAAACTGGTTTATTAGAAGAAAGAACATATAATAGACAAAATTAAATACCTGAAGAAAGTATTAACACAGATTATTTCTTAAAAAAGTCTTTGATCGTCTTCTGAGCTAACCTCTTCCCTCGCTTGGATGATGCAATGCTGCGCCAACGCTGTAGAGTAAGAATGTCATGTGGCGTACACTTTTCTTGCTGCTGTATGAATGCAAGAGCAGCGTCGATTGCTTTCAGCCCGTCGGTGTATGATATTTTGGGATTTGTCTCGTCCAGATTGACATCGTCTTCGTTGTCCTCACCACTGGTTACCATGTCGATGATTTCCATGTCGGTAATCAACATCTGATCATCTTGATTGCACCAATCGTGAATGTCTTTGCCGTCGATTTGATTTTCAACGGGTAACTGATTGGCTAGTTCGACTAGTTCACTCACGTTCTCGAATTCTGGCGCTTTTTTTTGTGGTTCATCTAAGCCAAATAAATTCTTCCACAACTTTTGAACAGTGGTAGTTTTAACCTCATCCCATGCTGAGGCTATCCAGTATGACATCTTTTAATGTGACTTTTTTAAGGCGTCCTTAACAGTCATGCCTTCGTCTAACATTGAAGAAGCCTTCGATGGTAGTTCCTCTTCATCACTTCTAGAACCCCTTTGGTCTAGCGGTTGTATAACATTAGGGGGAGAAAGATTGCCCTAATATCACCACTGCACAGTTCTTGGGCATCAGGGTGAGATGGCGCATTGTCCAATAGTAGAAGAGCTTTCCTGGGAAGCTTTTTTTTAACGCTTCAGTGACAGGTACAAATTCGTTGAAAAACCACTCACTAAATATCGGGCTATCTATCCATGTACTCTTTTGGTTGCAATATTTTGTAGGCAGGCAGTCGACTGTTATATTTTTAAAGGCTCTATGATATTTTGCCTTTGCATTAAGCAGCGGTATTAGCTTCAATGAGCCAGAAACATTAGCTGTAGCCAGTATCATAACCCTCTCCTTGCTTGTTTTTATCCAGGAGCAGTCCTCTCAGATTTTGCTGCCATGATCTTTGAAGGCAGCATTAAAAAATTAAGGCCCGTTTTGTTCGAATTGAAAATTTGATCAGAAGTCAATCCTTCCTTGAACACAATTTCTTCAATTTTATTTTGGAATTCTACGATTTCAGATGTGTCTGCTGATAGTTTCTTCACACTAATATTAAGTTGCCTTATTCCATACCTCTTCTTCCATCAGTCCAGCCATCCTTCACATGCCGTATATCTTTCAAATCAAATCAAATCATTCTTTATTTGTAGCTTCATTGCGAAAATACAATGACGTCATACAAAAATATCCTCTTCGTCTTTAAAGTTCTTATGACATTCAAGCGCCTTAGCCTGTAGCATTGGCCCACTCACGGGACTACCCATCCCTCGAAGCTGGGAAAACCACGAAAAAAGGGCCTCAGACGTCTCGGCTTGTGGTTACCCTTCTTTAAAGTCTTTTGACTAGGAGCACCACCTCCACTCACACTTTTGTTAACATATTTTTCGATTTTTCACGCTTTCCTCTCCAATTACCAACTGTCATTTTCCCAACCCCCAAATCAGCAGCCACCTTTTTAATCGACTTATCATTGTCCAAACGTTTAATCGCATTAAATTTGGCTTCAGGAGAAACTACAACCCTCTTCCGTTTCCTACTCATAGCAACAATAAACGATAAACAATAAATTAAAATGGTAAAATTAAACACACCAACACAACTACGTTTAACACAATTACGACTAACACCAACCGAGATCAGCGCGAGTTCAGAGCTAACTGGGACTAAAAGTGTGGATATGAAAATATGCGGGTTTCGAGTGCACCGATAATTCATAGTGAATGCATTACATACCCATGGCTCGACCTAGCAACAGCTATTAGAGACGTCCACTGCTCGACTGCGCTTGTTGAACAAACAAACATCTCGGCTTCCCGTAGTTGTCTCGATTATAAGACCTTTGTTTATATTTGTTATTTTTTTATGACTGGCTCGGTTAACCGAGACTCGGATAACGGGGAGTTTACTGTACTTTATTTATTTGATTAGCATTATTATCTATCATATGTTTATGTGTGTTTATATCATATGTGTATGTGTGTGTGTGTTTTGTCATATGTTATTTTTTCCAAATTCAAACAAGTTGACTTTTGGTGAGATTATTTAAAAATATTTAGGTCCATAGCGTGAGATTTTTTTTTTTAATTATTGTCAATTTTATTGGTTTACATTGTAGGCTATAAAATTGTGAGTAGGCCTACCTATTATCTTTTATAAAGGTTAATAACTAACCAATTATTTTAAGAAAGGACTATGTGTTCCTATATTTGCCTTATTAAAACATGCATTTAAATAAACATGCTTTTTTATTCATACTTAGTTGGTAAAGCTTTTGAATTTTATTATAAATTGTAAGTCGCTTGTGCTGCATCAAGTAACAAGAACATTGAGCTCAAACACATAGGTTTTGTATATAGCACAGCAGGTAGGTGCAGTATGAAAGAGGAAGTTAAATTAATAATTTTGCTAATAAGAACTGAGCGATACCAGACACTTCTATGCAATTGTTGATTTCAAATAAGTTTTATAGCCATTATTGTGCATTGCATTTAGACCCGGGCAATGCTGGGTTTTGCTGCTAGTTGTGATGCTGTTAGGCTGTCTTTTTTTCAAACCAGTTTACAGAACAATATTGGGGTACTTAAGGGATACAATTTATTGCCCCCTGGTCCCTCATGCTAATGAGGTAATACCGGTATGTTGTCCACTTAAAACTGCCCCCTGGCAAGACTAAAGTTGCAGCCTAAACTCACTAATTTCTATGATGAAGATATATATCTCTTAATACTGAAATCGGTCTCCCAAACCCACCAAGACTATCTCTTAGGCTAGCGCCTAAGTCTACTAGACTCCCAAACCAGAAATATTTAGGTGCGAGTTTACCCCTACCAAGAATTAGTTAGGCACGTGCCTAACTAATTCTGAGCTCGCAAACCCGTTCTCTAAGCGGCAGCTTGAATACCGGAAATAGGCCTATCTGGTTCTTATGCGCGGACTAGCGCTAATACCGAGCTCCCAAACCACCTCTAAATGTCTCATATTCCGGATGATACATTCTCCAGCACGACTAGTTATTTTTCAGTTAGTAATTTTTTACGTCAAGGTCAGTTCATAGTCGGAGTGAATGTTTAAAGCAGTTTGTTTATCTAAATCAGTTTATGATTTTCTCCCTTAAAGAGCAAATCGTCATGACTTCAGAGGTACCGGTACTTCATACACAGGCACATCGATCGTTGTGGCAGTTAATTCAATATTTATATTGTGTAGAAAGTGATAGACCTACTGGTGTAGCTGAATCTCAAAATAGTAGCCTACATCAACAAGAAAGAAACACATTACAGTATTATAAAAAATCCAAGAGAAAATGCCAAGGGAAACAAGAGGCAACCAGTAGTTTTCAAATACTCTCATTTAACTTATGAGGGTGTATAAGTTAAATGTATATGCATTTATACCTATATGTATATGTATATAGGCTTGGATAGTTATTTATGAGTGCTTAAATAGGCCCTATTTAATCATCACTTTCGGCTGCACTTAAGCATCTGTCCTACACTCTTTTGAATAAAAACGATCAATATATCGATTATTTCATTCAATGTATCAGGTTCAATTAGTTAGGTTAACCTAACCTAACTAACCGAATGAAGTAATCGATATAGGCTATCGAATAATCTATAAATCAATATTTTTTTATTTATGAGTGTAGGACTGATACTTTTGTAGTGTGGGACTCTAATGGGTTTAAGGGCCATTCTTCAGAAAAGGACAGATTTAAATACCTATTTTATTTTTATTTTTTTAATTTTTTAAAATTTTTTTTAGATGTTTTAATGTATGACCATTTTTTATATTTACCCATTGCAATGGTCACACTAAATAAAAATGACTTTCCCAGATTTTTATTATTTAAAAACTAGCGTGTCCACGGAAGTGACTATCACAACTGCAAATTTTACAAATAAAGTTAAAATACAAGCATAGATTCTAGCAAATAGGTTAGGAACAATGTTTGCTCTTATTTTTGTAGAGAAACACATAAACTACTGTAAATTAGTATATTAGGTTTAATTGCCATTTAAAATAATAGTTGTTAAGGGCAGCAACGCGCGCCGGGTAACTGCTAGGTGTCCACAGAAGTGATGATTTAGCATTTTATGCCTATAGAGTCTAGAAAATAGGTTAGGAACAATTTTTGCTCTAGAGAATCACATAAACTACTGTAAATTAGTGTATTAGGTTTAATTGTCTTTTAAAATAATAGTTGTTAAGCGCAGAAATGTGCGCCGGGTAACTGCTAGTGTCCACAGAAGTGATGATTTAGCATTTTATGCCTAACATAGAGTCTAGCAAATAGGTTAGGAACAATGTTTGCTCTTATTTTTGTAGAGAAACACATAAA